GCCAAGCGGGCTTCTCCCTGTCTCTCTAGGGCATCGTGTCTGTGAGGACATGCTCCCTCAACAGGAACACTGAAGCAAGCTGGGCTTTTGGCCCCACGTCACCCCCCCACCCCAACGCTTACGTCTGCAGCGCTTTGTCACCAAAAGCTTCTGCCACGGCTGTCCCCTCCTCGCTGGCCACCCCACCGCCCGCACGCTGCCGGGCTGGGCTGCCCGCAGGAGCGTCCACCACGTCACCAGCCACCGCCAGCTCCGTGTCACTGGTGCTCAACGTCAGGCAGCTCCTGCTGGTGCTGCTCCCCAGGGAGCCGGCCAGGCTGAGCTCCTCCAGTTTCCCCAGCAGCGGCCCCATGCTCTCCCCCTCGGCCCCCACCCAGGGCTCCCAGCTCGGGTCCTGCTGGCCAGCCCGCTCCCCTGGGACACCGCGGCCCCCAACAGCACCCAGCTCTTGCCCCTCCGCTCTGGGCTCCTGTGTCCCCCACATGCTCCGTGCTCCGAGCCCAAGAAGACTCCTGAGGAGCTGGAGCAGGGAGGGATGGCCGGGAGCCCGAGCGGCCGTTGGGGCATCCATGGGTGCCAGTGCTGGTGGCTCAACGGCTCAATTTGAATCAAACGGCCCCAAACCGCCCAGAACCCAGACCTGCGGCGCTGAGGCAGTGGCAGAGATCTGAAACAAGGCTGGGGGGGGCAAGATGTCACCCAGAGGGGAAAAGGATGCACAGCCCGGGGCTGGGAGGGGGATACAGACCAAGCACAGCCTAGAGCTGGGGGAGAAGACGGGCCCCAAAAGGTGAAGCCTTCCTTCTGCCCACAGCGACTCATTCTTGCAGCATTCCCACCTCTGCCACAGTTTGGCCTAGCCCTGAAATTTCGGAGGGTGGGAGGAAGGAGGAAGGCTCACGAAAACATGCAGGAACCCCTCCGGCAGCGCAGTACCATGGCCAAAGAGAGAAAGATAAAAAATTACTTCTTCAGCAGGCAGCAGCACAGCAAACAGCTTTAAAAATAAGCAGCATCTGCATTTGCCCATCGCAATGCGATACATTCATGACAATAATGGCAGGAACCGAAACAGCAGCAAGCCCAAGGACCCATTTCTCCCTCGGCCGCTCAGGCACGTTTCCGATGGGTATTTTCCTAGGACCACAGTCTCAGGCAGGGGCATGATTTTCCCCGCAATGTTCCTGCACTCAACAGAACAGTGCTGGAGCTGCAGTAACACTGGCATAAAGCTGCTCTCGCTGATATAACGTATCCCTCGCGGAGGCATGCTGCTAGGAGTTCAGCTTTGCTTCTGCGCTAGGAGTTTCTTCTGGCTGGCTCTGCCAGTGTCTGCTTATCCTTGGCTCGGCTAGCCCACAAGCTGCTGGCTGCAAGAAGGGTTATTTTTCCTCAAAAAAACTCATCTAAAACTGCCATGTCATCGTGACTAGTTGAAACCAAGATTCTCCCACCCTCCAGCTGCACCCTCCCGTTTCCTTTCCTCTGCCATTGCTGGGCTCAGGCGGCCAGCACAGGGCACAGCTCCTGCAAAGCACAGACCACAGCCCTTCTTGCCGCAAAAAGTGTGTTTTCACATCAGCCCCTTGCTCTTGCTGGCACAAGAGGAGGGCTGGGGACGCACAGCTGAGTGCAGCCCCCTTTCCAGTAGCAGCACAGATTAGACTACATCAACCAGTTGGTGAAACCACATCCTAAAACATCGCGTAAATCCCGAAAGCAGAGGGTCCTTCTCTGCATCTGCTGTGCCTCTCTTACTTATACCACCAAATATAACTCTTCGTTTACATCAGCAAAAGGGGCTGCCGGTGGAAGCACGGAACATTTCACATCAGCATCAGCAATCGCAAAGCCAGTGTGGCAGAGCCAGCTGGGAATTTCTTCCCTATTGCCTCAACATCTTAAAGCCACTGCAACAGCAAAGCAGGCTGTCTCCCACCAGCAGAGCCACATGCAGGATTTAGATCACTCATCAAATGATCTCCTAAATACTTGCTTGCCACCATCATTTCTTGATGTCCATATAGGCCATTCCCATAACAGAGCTGGTGCTTTCAAACTAATTTCCCTTTATTCCTGATACCTCCCCCATCTCTAACACTCTCCAGCAGCCATTTGCAGACACATTGCAGTATGAGTCCCTGCTGCCCACCCATAGCTCAGTCCTCACAAGCTCCTTGCTGCACTTGCTGTGGACACAGAGGAGTTGTCCAAGCCTCCTGCACAGCTTATTTTCCACACATTTTGCTGCTCAGTGTGATTAGAAGCAGCTATGCATATCATACACTTGATGCTCACCTAATACCACTTTCCCAGCTGTTTTTCTATGGCCATGCCAGAAGTGTTATGCAGTGTATTTGAGGTGGAAGAGAAGTGGTTTGCAGAAAAGAAGAAGGATTTAGAGATGAGATTTGCTTTTGCAAAAGTTCTCACCAACGCTGCTGCCTGATGAGGTAATACTAAGGGATGCTAACTCTGAAATGGTGGTAAGACTCAGGAACAGCACAGATTGATGTAATGTGGCAGAGAGAAGCACAGGATCCATCCTGCAGCAGTCAGCACATCCTGATGTGCCTGTGCTGGTATTCAGCCTAAAAGCCATCCATCCATCATGCTGGTTGTGCACAAGAACAGCCACCACCAGCACAGATCAGCGGGGGCACTGGGATAACCCAGAGGGAGGGACAGTCAGACCCAAACAGCCACCATTGCTACATTCACCATCAAAGCTCACCCCAAGGCTCAATGCAGAATTAAGGTTGGTGGTGGGACCTCGAGCCCCACCAGGACCAGGAGTTTCTCTGCGAGTGCACACTGGGAGGAGGGCAGACCCCTTGCTACCAGGCTGATGCGGACAGTCCCCATAAGCTGATTCCTCCCCTTCTGCTCCATGATTAGTCTTACCTCCCTGAGAGCCAGCTCCGGCCAGGGCACATCTCTCCTGGCCCCTGGCCCCCACAGTCATTGCAGGCATCCTTTGCTTCACCCTCCACAGCCTGCTTTTCACTGGTCTCAGTGCAGCTACCACGCTCAGAAAGGTCTGCCAAGGCCACATCCCCGGCAGCCCCCACTTCCAAGGGGGGAGAAAGCTTCTCTGGAGCCAGAGCGGGACCCTCTGCAGCCAGGGGCCCATTTTCCCTGGCAAAGCTCAGCCAAGTAAGTCAAGGATTCAAAAATATCTCTGTTTGGCTCTGGGACAGGGAGCATCCCACAGGGCATGTCATCCCAGGGCATGAACAGTGCTCCTACCATTGGACAGACAGGTAATTTGATAATTAGCAGTCAGGCATGTATACTGGCCCCAAACCTCAGCTTATCTGGCATTTTTCAGCAGAGTGAAGTCCCTGGCAGTCTCCCAAGGAGTGAGGGGAAGAAAAGCAGCTGGGGCAGCTTGCTGAGCCAAAGAGCCACCTCCAGCAAAGAAGCTCTCTTGCTCTCCTGGGTGAATCACGCTCTTTCCTCCAGCCACTGTGATTTTTCCTAATCTCAGTGGAATTCAGATTTCTGAAGTCACTTGGGCTGAACCACCTCTGCCACCAGCAACTCTTTTTTTTCTGGTGGATCAACACAGAAGTTTCCTACTAGAAACCAGAAATGCTCTTAATAATGACTTTAATGGGGCTTCTGGCCCTACCTGCCAGGGAACCTGACAGAGGACAAACCGATCGTGCCGAGGTGCCACAGCCTTAACAAAAAGGTCAGAAATTCACTGGAGAATCCACGGAGAAGCCGAAGACTCCCAGAAAACCACGACGAGCAAGGCACTGGGATGTCCTGTGCCACGCCATCCCCTCACAGCCGAGCTCAGCAGAGCAGCCCCCGACCCCGCTCCCAGCAAAACCGCAGCCAGGGCGATGCCCCGGGGCCTCAGCCCCTCCGGGAGCCCCGTAACCCCCCTTTTCCCCCGCCTGCAGCCCCGCCGCGGTGCTCGGCGCTGCACAGAGCCGCACGGCAGCCGCTTTCCCACGCTCGGGCCGGGGAAGGTGCCTCTAGAGGGAGCTAAACCCTCCCCGGCTCCGCGGCTGCGTCTATGGTCTGGGGTTGGGTTTCTAATTTTTTTTTTCTTTTTTTTTTTTTTTTTTCTTCTCTCTCCCTTCTTTTCCCTCCTCCTCCCCGGCCCTGCTCGCTTCCTTCCCCCGCGCCGCGCTCCGGGGAGGAGGCAGGAAGGGAGGCGGCGGGGATGGAGCAGCTCCCCGCCGGGATGCAGTAGCTTCCCGGGACACCCCGGCCCGCTTGGTCCTCGCTGGGACGCGGTGAGTAGCGGGGAGACGCCCCCCCCACCCCCCCAACCCCCCCCATGGCCCTCAGCCTCCCCCCCGGGATGGGTTATCTTTAGTCACCGGGCCCGGCCGGGGTTGCCCGGAGCCGGGGGAGGGATGTACCGGGAACCCCGGGGGTGCCGGCGGGCTCCGGGGGAGCCCGGCAAGGCGGGAGGGGTGGGAAGAGCCGCAGGGCCTCATCCTGCACCGCCCGGTGAAGAAGGTTAGAGTACACAGGGGTACCGCAGCTAGCAGCGCTCTGGTGTGTGCGATAGCTGGGCCAGGGCTGAAAGGTCTCCCTCTTGAGCTGATCGTTGCCCCAAAGAGGGAATATCACCTTTTTTAATAATATTTTCTCCAGGTGGGCTTTTTTCCCCCTCCTTGCAAGGCCGCGGTGGTGACAGCCCCTCCCGGCATCCCCATGCCAGCGCTCAGTGGGGGGGTTCAGGGTGGACAAAGTTGGTTGAGGTGTCGGTGGGAAGAGTTGTACTGGGGTGATATCCGTCTCGCCCCACGCTGGGCTGTGACCTGACACGGGTACGGCACGTGTGGCTTTGCCAGTTCGCCCGCACCGCTTCCCGCCCAGCAGCACCGGGGATCTCCGGGAACGCGGGTGCGCGGGCTTTTGGGGGACCCTGGTTGCACTGTCTGCGTCTGCTGGGGCTCGTGGGCCAGCTGGACCCTGGTGCTGTGCTGCGTGGGTAAACACCAAACTGGAGAAACTCACCTGTTTGCTCATCTATGGCAGGCTAGGAGGAGCGGGCCTGATTCTGCGCTGTCCGTGCAGGGATGTCAGCAGGGCACAGGAGTCCTGCGGGATCTCTGTCCTGGAGAGAGTTAGCTGCCCTGCACGCCACGTGATGGAATCACTCCCATGCACGGGCCCAGGGCCAGACCTGTGAACTGCTCGTCCCAGAGGATGCTCCATGCATTTCCTGGAACAGGATCTTCATAAGGTGTCGGGGGGGACTTCAGAGCCCCATAGCCTGACTTGCTCATAGGGATTAATGGCTGCTCCTGCACACCCTCTCCTCTCCTGCAGCTTGCAATTCTGCCTCCCTCTCTGGGCCAGTCCCGCCATCTTCCCGGCATCCAGGCACTTTCCTTTGGAGAAAAGTTGGGAGAAGTGGTGAGCATGTCATGAGGTCACACAGGAAATGTGTCAGAGACCGTTAAGGAGATGAGGGCGAACGGAGAAACAGTTGAGGCAAAGGTCTTTTTTTTTATTAGGGAAGGCTGGCAGGTTCCAGGAAGGCTGATTCCTTGCATGGCAGGTACTAGTTAATGCAGATAAGACTCCCGTGCCATCTTGGAGGTGTTGCTAAATCCACATCCCAGGTGCTGTCTGCTGCTTTTAACCCTTTGTTGCCTCCTACAAGAGCAAAAAGTCAGGGTGGAGCTGAATCTTTTAGCAGCTGCTGAGAATTAGACGCTGCTCCCCGTAACCTGCAGCTTCCCCCAAACCCTCTCTTGAGCCCTGTCTCAAGTCCTGGAGCCTTGGGCTGTCTTTAAGTGTACGGGTGTCATCCTCCTTGACGCCCCTCCCTGCTCTTTTCCAGTAGCAAAGGCAGAATGGGGCAAATCAAAGGGGCATTGGGCTGGAAAGCAGAAGGAATCTGGGCAGCAGCACTCTTGATACTGGAGAGGATGGTCCAAGGCACTTGGACCCCAGCAGACACTGGCAGTGAGCTATCTTGGGCGTTCACTTGGTTTACAGGAGTTGGAGGTTAGGGTGCTCGCCGGGAAGGAGGTTGGGGGCTGGCAGCATGCTGACAGGGATGTAGCTGCCGGTCCCAGATGTGCGCATGTGCAAAAGGGCTGCTGTGTTCCATGTTGCAAAAGAAGAAAGCACTGCAAGAAACTATATTGAGAAGGAAACCGAAAATGAAAGTTCCTCTTAAATGATGGCCACAGTCGCAGCCTGCTGCTTCCTACGGGTTTGGCAGACGGCAAATGTGAAGAATCACTTGAGTCAGCTGCTTCTCTGGCACTGGACTCCTGTGCTCACCAGCCGTCCTTCATACCGAGCAGCCAGGTTTGCATCAGAATTTCCCTGTTATCTGTGGCTGAGCTCTGGGTCAGAGGCAGCGGATTGATGTGAAACACAGTCGGTTGCACCGATAGACCAAACTCTAAAACTCCAGAGGCAGCTGAACTCTTTGGCTGGATGCGTCCGCATCCTCCCCAGTGCTCAGCACATCCTCTGGGTGTAGCAGCATGGGGTACAGTAGAAATTCATACTGCTTCGCTTACCCACGAACTCCAGAGAGCCACTCCAAGGCTGGTCTTGCTTCCTCTTGAAAGACACAGAGGCCTTCCTAGGCAAGGTGGGCTGCAGCTGTAGCCTTGCTACGCGCCCGAGGAGGGGCTGGGGATGGCAGCGGAGGAAGCACGGGAGGGTTTCCTCTGGGGAGGAGGGGACGGGGGCAACGTGCATCCGCTCCAAGCGCTCCCTGAGCTGTCTCCATCACGTCCCGGAGCAGAGAAGAGCAAGGAGAGGAGCAGCTCTGGAGCCTGGGTCTCTGCTGAACTGGGCAAGTGGGAGCCAGCTCTCCTCCCAACTTTACCCTCAGTCTCAACTGCTGATCCTCATTGCGTTTTCAGCTTTTCTGTGGATGGGGATGTTTGAGGTTGGGGAGGAAAAGGGAAATCCTGTCCTCGGAGGCGTGTAGGAAAAAACAGCATCTCCGTCTGCGTGTCACTGCTGCTCAGGGTCCCTGAATGCAGCTATGCAAAGACACGATGGCTTTCTAAGCCAGGCTGATAAGCTTTGCATTTCCAGCCCCCCATCCCCACCTTGACTGCAGGCCGTACTTCACATTACTGCTTGTGGTCTCAATTTATTTTCCCTTTTGAATAACCTTCAGTGTGAGGTTGTAAGCTCGGACCACGTGTTGCACTTCTAATCTTGACATAGGTGGTTATTTATCCATGACCAGCACTTTGTTAAATTTTTGCCCAGGATACAACTGAAACTTCTGGGTGCTGATGTGTCTTCATGAATTTAGACCTGGTGCAAATCAGAAAACCCACCGGTTCAGCCCTGTAGAAGTCTGGCTTGGGAACATGTACTGGCATGCCAAACAGCAGGCTAGGACCTGCAGTGATCTCTCTCTAACCCTGACGGTAACCGCATGGCCTCACTTCCTTCTCTGCAAAAACCAGAGGGTGAGGTCAGTGCGATGAGCAGAAGGGTAAAGGAGCTGCCATGAGCCCTGAACTACAGAACTGGGCTTAGGATACCTGTGAAGTTCAGGGGCGATATGAACCACGCGTTTGGTTCTCACTTAATTTTCTTATTCTGAGAGGAGCTCAGAGTAAGAAACATAAAGAACGGGGGGAATTAGAGCCTCTGGATTTAGGAAAAGAGAGCTCATCTCTTGTAGAAGTAGTGGAAAACAAGCCGGAGGTGCTTGCCAGGAGATGTCGGCACTGTCGCTGCAGCTCCGCGTGGGAGCCACGGCAGCTCGGTGTGGTTGCAGGTCGGTTTGCTCTTGCCGCGCTCTGAACCGTCGTGGTTGCAGGTGGGGGTAGCAGCAGCAGCAGCATTTCGGGCAGCAGCAGAGCCCCACGACTCAGCTCCCAGACACGTTCCTCCGGGTGCAGCCAGGGAGTCGTAGAACCCTTTGTGCCGTGATTTTTTTGCATTCATCCCAGCGTGAAGCCACTGCAGATGCAGCTGTTGTCTGGGCTGAGTAAGAGCCGGTGCAGCCCGTGGCACTTGCTGAGTGGGTCAGAGGAGAGCTGGGCTCGTTTCCAGCAAGGGTGGGGAGGTGGCGAAGCGGGGTAGGGAGTTGGGTGACTTCTCTCTTCTGGCATATGACTGTCCGCAAACGTGTTACTGAGAAGAGGCAGGAAGAGAGGAAAAAAATCTAGCCAAGGGACTTGGTGTGGCCAGGAATCACGGAGCAAGTGTGCCGGGAAGGGAGGAGCCAGGTCGCTGGCAGAGATAAAAGCAGGCAGCGTTGCTCTTCTGAGCACTTGGCTCAGCCGGAGGGGCTTCCTAAGGCTGGCCTGGGAGCTGTGTAAGGGAGCAAGAGGCCGCCAGGCTCCCGGGTCCCTTCTGGCTGCTCATAACCTGGTTCGCTTACTGTCTCTTGTCATTCCAGGTAAAGCCGATACTCCCAAGCATCTCTCTGCAATGGCCTCAGGGAACGACGGTGACCCACCGAGGGCCCACAGACGCCGGGGAAGCAACAGGCGCAGGCTGTCACAAGAGCTCAACTCAGGTAAAAAGGTTGCTGTGATATTCAGGGAATGAAGCATTTTCAACCCATTCTTTTTTTTTATTCCTCTGCTGTCTCTTTGAAAAGATGGGGTTTTTTTCATACCTCCAAGGCCCTTTGCAAGACTGGGATAACAGATCAGTTCCGTAAAGCTGAATTGAACTGGGAGAGCACAGGCTCAATGCTTTTGGGAGACGCTTGGCATTCGATTAGCACGGTGGGCAGCAAGAGGGGCTTGAAAGGCATGGAGAAAATAGTGCGGAGGGAGCTGCTGGACTGGGGTACGCTGGCAGCTCTGGGCAGGCAGGCTGAGGCAGGCATAGCGGGGTGCCACTGGGCACAGGGGTTGGGACGTGGGGCAGATCACCCTGGCTTGGCTGCGAGATGTACGTCTGGTTCCTGATGTCATTTACTTTCCCTTCCCTGAGCACAGGAGAGCGAAAGGTGCTTGATGTTTAAGACACAGAGAAAAAAAACGTCTTGCTGAGCAGCGCCTGGTCTCAGGCAGTTGGTTTCAGTCTTGCTGCATCGGCTGCTGGTTGAAATCGGGTCTCCGGTGTGCCTTGGCATAGCAGCGATGAAAAGTTATGGCTCGCCAAAATTCAGAAGCGGTTCAGTCCGTTTCTGCTGTGTGCCGAGCCCAGCAGACTGTGTAATTGCGTTTCACACTAATGGGTGAAACTGGGAACGGGGCCGAAAGGAACCCAGGAAAAACTTCAGCTCCCGTTTCATCCCCAAATGATAAAATGCCGCTGCACAGAAAGCTGTTAAACATGGGTGACTTCTTAACCTGCTTGCAGGTGGACTTGTAAATAAGGCTGAGTCACTGCGGCTCTGTCAATAATGGAGATTAGAAGCTATACCTAACCACTTATGTATTTGAGCTCAGATCCAGCTCAGAGCTGTTTTATTGGCCTGATAACGTTATTTATACTCTGGTATTGCCTGGACTCCTCTCCATCTCAGAGTACCATTTGTGCTAGATCCTGCGTGAATACACTGGAAGAAAAAATACCCCGTCCTTCCCTTACCAAAGTCTACAAGGTATGAGAAGAAATAAATAAGAGCAGTTGTTTACGTATGCCGATTTCCTGTTGAGGCCAATGAGATGCTGATGTGAAAACCAGTAAGAGGATCAGGCCCTGAGCTCTAACCACATTGTTGTACAGTCACGCTTCCTGTACACTTGCAAATACTTACTGGCTGTACTGGCATCCCTCTGCTTCCCAAAACTCAGGGGGTCCCTCAGGAATTTGGAGGTGGGATCTGCATGCCTCTTAGGGAGAGGCCTCACGGACTCCAGTGGGAACAGAAATGTGCAGCTTCCACCAACACGCGCTACGGGATTATGGGGTAGAAGGTGGTTTTCCTCAGTAGGTATTAAGCCTGGCTTTCATTTAGGGCTCGCTTGCTCTCTTTATCTTTGGATGCGGTAGGGAGTGAAGAGATTGCCGCTCAAGGACTCGCTTGAGCATCGTTCTGAGCCCTTGTTCTACCAGCCGTTGCTCAGGGCATGGACAAGATGCTGCTGCTTCTGTCTGGGTTGGGTGGCGATTTGCACTTCTGGTGGTTTTAGGGCATGGTGGACGAAGGCGGGAGCTTCATACTCCTGGCAGTATGGGGTGGGAGGCCCAGGACCAACGGTGCTGAGCTGAGCTTAGGAAACAGGGCTCAGACTTCAGAAAAGTAACCTTGCCCTCCTTCAGTTCTCATCTGTAACATGGCGGTGGCAGTGCCTCCCCGTTCAGACGTGCTGCCAGGGTCCGCACACAGCTACAGGAATGGCTTGGATAATTCCATCGAGGCTTAGATCTGCGGGACATGCCATGGACGTGGCTGTCCTCACACTTGCAGGTAACCATGCCAAATGCAGCTCAGCCCCCACTACACTGCAGAGGGGCTAGTCCAGGTGATGAAAATATTGCTTATGTGGTCACACTTAGCTCCTGTGTGGACCACATTAGCTGGAATCCCAAAGTACTTTGGTGAGAAAAGCGATGTATTGCTATGTCCGCTCCTTATTACTAAGGAGATGGAGAGAGCTTTGATGTCAGTCTCTGCGAGGATGTCCAGGGTGTCAGGGCTGTGCATGGAAAGCCCAGCCACCCTGCCTCACAGTTTGCAGAGTCAGATTGGCAACTGTTCTCTTCCTCAGATTACCTGGGCTTTCTCATCTGTCCGTGTGTGTTTAATACTCACGTAACATACCTGGAGAGGTGTGAGATTTGGTCCTTAGTTGTTTATCTTAGCTCTGGACTTGATGTTGCAAGTCATGAACTGATAAATAGTTGCTTGGGGATGTTAGTCATGCATCTGTGAGTGTCTTCATCTCCCAGACCACCTGCAAAATGAGTAGGAAAAATGCGAGCTGCCTGTTTAAACCTGGATTCTCATACATTCTGGAGAGCACCCGAAACCATTTAAATGTACTTTTCTCTCGTCTGGTGCCCATGCAGTTCCTATTTCCAGCACACACACAAGAGTACTGGATTTCCCGTTGAACTGTATCTCCCATCAATATGTGGTTTCCTTTTTTAAAAGAAAAAAAAATATATAAATCATCCTTCTGATGACTGTGCTGGGAAATAACTCTGCTATGGAATTGCCTCATGACTCTCTTGTTCTGGCCTGCAAAGGATGCCCCAAAAACTCTTTTATGAAAAACTTGATGGGGCAGAGGAAGATATATTGCCAGAGCTGAGATGCCCACCCATCTGGAGCATCCCACTGAGCACTGGGTCCAGTGTCCCTTTGCAATTCAGTAGATTAGCAAATATGGGACAGGTCTCAGCTTGGGCAGTGAAGTACCAGAGAAAAACCTTGCTGCAGCCCCCAGCCCCTCCTGAAAGTGTGTAGCTCTGGGTGTGTTGGTGGGACACCATTGAACAACAGAATTAAAGCAGGTTTCTTGAGTCCAGCCCAGAATCTAGACCAGAGCATCTCCCTCACTGACAGATTAATTTCTGTCTTAAAACCAAGGGTGTTTGCCCATTAGCTCTGCAGGGAGGCTGTTTGTGAATATTGCTCCTCTTTTGGGTGAGAAGATACTTGTTCTAAATAGCAGAATAAGGGGAAGGGCTTTGTGCTGTGCAGATGCCTCTGGGGACAGCAGGTTTCCGTTTCCCTGTCTAGAAGCTTTGCTCTCGGGTGCAAGCTGTGCAGGATTATGCCAGCATGATGCAGTGTCAGGTTGATCAGCCTTTGATCCTGGATTCCATTGCTATTGACAGGCGATAGAGTTCACAAGGGGCTGCCTTGCCCGCTGGAAGCTAACCCAAATCCAGATATTGCTCATCCTACGCTTGAATTGCAACTACCATGAGGTGGAGCTGAGCTTCCCCTCGAGGCAGAAATCTCCAGAGACGGTTCTTGGTTCCCCAGAGCTGTCTTCTCCCTTCGAAGCCAGTAGCTGTTTCCGGGCTGGATATCTCCCTCTGTGCAAACAGATGCACCTCTCAGTGTAGTTACCGCCTGTCTCCTGAGCTCAAAAGGGATGCTGCCAGGTTGCATCTGTCATTATTACAGTCTGTAGCAAGGCTATTTAGTTGTAACAAGGTCTGATGGATAACTTTGGGTGAGACCTGCCAGTTTTTACTATAGCGCAGCTGCTCTGCGGGAGATGAGAACAATGAGAAATAAAGGATCTTGCACAGAAATGCGGGTGTTGCACGTTTGAGACTGGCCGGGGTCCGGTCAATGTTGTCTACAGTGTGGGTCCAGGCAAGAGATTGTTGGGGCAGGTCTGGTCGAGATGCTGAGAGTGAGCTGGGGACCGAGGATGGCGGGGTCGCTGCTCCGTCAAGCAGAAGTGGAGCAGGTCCTCCCTTGCAGTGTGGGGGTTCGCAGCAGCTCGTGAGCCCCCTAACACGGCCCCGATGATCCCACAGGGAGACCAAAGATCCCAGAGGAGCTCCAAACCGCTCTCCCCCTCTCCGCTGCCAGTAGTGGGAGTCCACAAGGCAAATCTTGATCCGGATCCTCTTCCTTTGAGTGGGAGAGACCCAGAGATGGTCCCAGTGGGTGCTGTGGGTTAGCACCTGGGGGAAAAAAGATGTGCGTTCACTTGTCCTTGTGTTACTAAAAATAGTGCCTTGGGGTAATTAAAACTAGGGATTTTTTTTGGTACACTTATTTCCTCTTTTGTTCTCGCAGTGTGTTTACCCTGTCTCTCACTGAAACTGTGAGTCAGTCGGTTTCGTTTTCTGGCTCTCGGTGGAGCGGTCACTGGCTCCGCTGGCTCCTCCATAAGGTGGGATTTGTTTACCACCAAATAAACCTGTTCCTGCAAAACAAAAACCCAATCCCCTGAAAACACAGTGACCAGGGCTTGTCATTTCCCTTCACCTTTATTTACCCAACCCAAACTCTGTGTAACCTGAGTCTTTGCACGACAGGTCCTCTCCCTTCCCCGCACCCCATCCAGGGCTGGGCCCGTCTCCCCGGAGCCGCACGTGGGCCATGTAGATGTGACCAGCTGGAAAAACCCGGTGACGAGTAGCACAGCATGTTTTGGAGACTTGGATACAGGGTTTTATGGGGCAGTGTTGCCAGGACAGCTGTGTCCACGAGGCCAGGTCCTGACATCCCAGCTCTGGCATGGTGCTCAGGCACGAGCATCTCTGCATTGGAAATGCAGTTTCCAGTGGCCAGAGATCTGCATGGCCAGTCTGGCGGGTGGATATACTGGCATGCTGGGAAAGGGTTTTAACTGGGTTGGCTGCAGTGAGCTGCACCGCTGCTAGACGGTGTTGCTGGTGCAGATGTGCTGCTGCATGTCACCAGCACGCCTTGCAGGACGATCACCTAAAGCCACGGGTTTGCAGGGTCCTGTGCTTCTGACGTTGCCCCAGGTAGCTCATTTACCTGGGCTTTGCACCTTGTTTAATGGCTGTGAATCTCCACCCTGAATGGTGATACCCTGTCAAATGAGCAGGGCTCTGATCCATCCATACCGTTTCTGTCCCCTACAAATTTTGCATCTTAGAAAAGAAACTGGAAAAAACTGTGTTACCAGGACCTTAGGGCCAGCTCCCCCTGAGCCCTGCGGCATGACTTAGCTGGGCTGCCATCAGTTCGGGAACTGGTGCTCTAGCCCAGATTGCTTCTTGAGCCAGCTGAAACCGAGCTGTAATCAAAGACATCCCGTGACAGTCCGGGTACTTTCCCCAGGAGCTATGTAATGCATGTGATAAGGTATCGGTCACCATGGTACCTACAGGACTGAAACGCCTCGCCGGGGGCTCCCTGCTCTGGAGGGGGCAGGTCCTGGCCACATCCAGACCCTTGCTCTTCCCCGAGCAGCGTGGGCACGGGGGACACACGTGGGGGTCTCAAGCTCGAGCCGTTTTCGGATGGGCGCGCGCTTGTCGATGCCAGTTGTTTCCGACTCACTTCCTGCTTGCGCAGAGCCGGGTCGGTTTTCGCGCGCTATCGGGGCCGGGTGACGTTACCGCATGGGTGCATTCCCCCGCTGAACCCTGAATACCTGGCGTGCCGAGCCCTGCTTGTTTACAAGAGCAGGGGAAGGAAGCTGTGGCACCCAAAACCAGCCTCAGCTCACCCCCTGCCCGGCTGCAGCCTCCCATCGCCATGCAACGGGCTCGTTTCTTCCACGGGTATTTGTTAGCGAAGCACTGTCCACTCTCGCACAGTGGCAATGGGTGTGCTGGAGCAGGAACAGGCATTCGGTTCAAACTTATCACCTGGCTGTTTATCTGCTTTCAAGCGCAAGATGGGGAGTCACCTCTCTGGGTTACAGTTTAGGAGTTATTCAAAAACTCGTCGCCTTTCTGCTCTGCCAGCAGCTCATGCAGAAGTTGCAAACCCTGCCCTGGCATTGCTGCTGCTGGGCTGATGAGTGTCCGCGAGACCAGTGATGCATGATTGAATCGGCGAGGAATTATACCAAAATAACCAATTTAACTTTTGCTCACCACATCATTGCTGATGCCATGCTAGGGCAAGATCGTTGGTGACATTGAAAAACAAAGATTGTTTGCTGAGGGTTGATGGGCAGCACTAGACTGAGCTTTGCCTCCAGTTTGGGTTTGAATCTGAGATTCCTGAATTTGTTTGTGCTGAGCAAACCCCTTATCAAGAGGTAACAGAGCTGCCAAGCACAAGCACTTGAACATCTGGTTTGTGTTGTGACAGTCCTGTAGCTGTCTCTTGCCAAAAATGGATTCAAAAGGTGGGCCTGTGCCCCAAAGAACAAAGACTGGCTTAAAAATTAGTTTTCTGAGAACTAATTTATGTTGGATTCTTTTTGTTTTACTGCAAAAGGCCAGAGTTAATACAAACAGCACAAATTTAGGCTGAAAATGAGGGAATGGTCTCTTTCCGACTTGGGAAAGGGGGGAGACGAGTTTCTCCCTTGACTTTTCTTCCTTTTGTCTCTCTCAGAAGACCAGGTGGTGGAGGAGACGGAGGAGGTGTTTCGGAGTTATGCCTTCTACCGCTACCAACAGGAGAGAGAGGAGAGAGGGGAGGAGGTGCCCATGGACCCAGAGATTGTAGAGATCCAGCAGGAGCTGGGCAGGTAAAAACTCTGATACCAACCGTATGCACGTTCCTCAACCCCATTCTGAGCCAGGCTCTATTACAGATCCACCCCTCACTCCTGCTTACCAGTCTTGCTGACCTCTCCATAATGCCGTCTTCCCTCTGGGCAGCACCGGGAGCCTGGTAGGAAGGCGCCTGGCCATCATCGGTGACGACATTAATAAGCGGTACGATGCGGAGTTTCGCTACATGCTGAAATCCTTGCAGCCCACCAAGGAGAACGTCTATGAGCACTTCACCAGAATAGCCTCCAGGTAAGGCCACAGGCTCCCTCAGCATGGGCTGGATGCCTTCTCCTGGAGAAGACCAGGGAAGGAAGGGTCAGACGGGGTGCAATGCAGTCGGTTAAAGCCTTGCCTCCACCCCGGAGCACCTACCCCAGTATGCAGACCCTGTCCATTCAAGCTTCACCCACCATCCCTGGGTTGAGCTCCCAACGAGCTTACCGTGACGGTTCCTGTGTTTTCTGCCTGTCTGCTCTTTCTCCTGCGCACTGTTTGGACAGTCTTCACCTGACAATCACCTCGCAGTCCTTGCACAAGCTGACCAGGGTCAGAAAGGTTGGGGGAACATGCCTGGGAAGCGTGCCCCGTGCATCAGTAGCCAAGTGAATGTCCCAGCCACCCTTCAGGGGTACAACCAGCCCCGGACCATGGCAGACTTGCTGCTGGTCCCACTGCCGCTTGCGCAATAGCTGGAAAGCCCTGATGAGTCAGGCTTTCAGAGGCACAAAGCAAAGGCAGCTGCAGGCTGCGGGGATGGGCAGGTACTCGCTGCCCTTGGTGTGGTCCACATGGAACAGGATCCGACTAACTCAGCATGGGGGATGCTCCGCAGGCTTGCAGAGCCTGTAGCCATCTCGTGCAGGCGATGCGTGCCCACCTCACCCGCGCAAAGCACAGCAACAGGGTGAAGAGTGAAGGCAAACACCTGGACGACTTACAGCCCTGATTGCCTGAAGTACAGGCTTGGATCGAGGTGGCTGTCGAGGGGTTCGGTTCTCACCTCTCTCTGTCTGTAGGGAAACCAAGTATCCACGTGAAATGGTTCACCCAGGGTCATGCAGAAGACCTCTGGCAGAGCCAGGAGGGAAGCCGGGGTCTCTGGGTTCCCAGGTCCCAGACTCCCGTCGCTCCTCCGAGCACAGCCCCGTCCCTGGGCACCCTCCGCTCAGTGTTTGTTGTCTAACTGCCTCTCTTCTGTCCTTTTCCTGCTCCCCTGTCCTTGGGAAGCCATGCTGCGCTGTTTTCACCGCTTTGCCAGCCTGAGGCGGTTAACGCACCGCAAACAGGTAAATTAACCTCTGTCCCTCTCTTTGCGCTGCCTGTTTCTCTGTAGTTCCTTCCCTGGCTCTAACTTCCCTCTCCCTCTGCCACCTCCACGGTGGCAGCTCCACGCCAGGGCTCTGCAGAGAAGACAGTTCCCTTCGGCTGTGCAGACAGGGACCACTAGGACAGGGCACCAGATTAAAACACAGAGCCCGAGTCTACTCTTTTTATTATTCTCCCTGCCCCCCCCCTTTTTTTCCTTCTTGCTTGCCTTGCTGGAAACCAGGAAAAACACCTTCAAAAACAGGTCTAGATAAATCAGTGCCAAACCTGCCCACAGCGATGCAGTTTGTGCCCACAGCAACCAAAAGCTGGATCAGAAGCAGTAGGTGTCAGGTAGGCACATTTTGGAGCCCCCCGCAGCCCCTGCGAGCCTCAGTCTAAGGAAGGATCAGGTTTTGTTCTTGGAGGGGTTTGTCTGTGCAGGAAAAGGAAAAATCCTGTTCTAACATGCTTTGTCCTTAGATATAATTAAACTTCCTTACCTCCTCCAGGTATGACCACACAAGCAAGGGATGCTCTGGGACAGGTGGGTGGTAGTTCCTGCTCCTGGCTGCATGTGTAGCAGCTACTGAGCTTGCTGCAGCCTACAGCCTGACGGCTTAAACCACCACCAGTTCCAGCTTACCTTGTTTAATACCCTTGCCCATGAAAACACAGGACCTCCAGGCAGCTGATGTGCCCTGCATTCGGACAGAGACCTCAGGGAAAGGCAGGACAGGCAGGAAGGTGGCAGGTCAACAACGGCCACCGCAAAGCTTCCCCTCCAGCACTTCAGAGCTTGTAGCTGTGTAGACTTTTTCCCTAGGACATCCCTAACCCACCTGGCTGAGACAAACAGCGGTTGTGACCGAGACTGTGTTTGTTCTGCTCCGAAAGCACATCCTGGTTATGGGCGGCCACGTGTCGCTTAGCCACAAAATGACTACATTGTCTGTGCGGCTGGGATGCAGCCCGAGAACTAACACAGCATCCCCAGCCCTGCTCTGCAACCGGCACTGCTCAAGAGCCCGTGGCCTGGGATGCAGAGACTAGGGAGGTCCGAGCCAGCCACCGCAGTGATTTAATCAGACCATCGGCTTCATTTCAGCTTGTTCGAGAGCGGCATTAACTGGGGCCGGGTGATTGCGCTGCTGGGTTTCGGCTACCGCATGGCCATCCACGTCTACCAGCACGGCACAAGGGGTTTCCTCTACTGGATCACCCGCTACGTCTCGGAGTTCATGCTCCGCAACCGCATCGCCCAGTGGATCGCCCAGCAGGGAGGATGGGTGAGCCAGCGGGAGCGCGGGGCTGTCCCGGGGGGAATTCGGGGACAAGGGGAGGCAGCCGTGCTCCGGCCGGTGAACGGTGCAGCCTGGGGACTACGGCACTGCTGCGGTCGGTGGGGTTACCCGGGTGCCAGCAGAGCAGCAACCTGGCCCAGGCAGATCTAACACGCTCTGGTTATTCTCTGTTTCCCGTCAGGTGGCTGCACTCGAGCTGGACAATGTTTACATGAAGTACATGCTGGTGGTGGTGGCCCTGGTCATGGTGGGGCATTTAGTGGTACGACGCTTCTTCAGGCCCTAACTGACGTGGGGGCAGAGGCTGGGGGGGTCCGGCCAAGCTCTCTCTCAAATCTCTGCTCTGCGTTGACGTCTCCCAAGAGAGGGGGAAATTCGAGGAACCTCCAAGAGAGAGAGCAGCTTGGACCTGTGACCCTCCCACCACGGGGCCCAGGGTCTCTGCCATCTATGCAGACACCACCAGGAGCTATGGGGAGAAGAACTGGGGGAAAGGCTCAACTTTGTTGCCTGTTTTATGCCTCACTTAACTGCTGAGGACACTGTGATGGTCCTAGCACGCAGCAGCGAGGCAGAACAGGCTCCTCTGGAGTCAAGAGTCCGAGGGAACAAATGTGTTGTGATAATGCCAGCACGTATGTGTGTGTGTGAGTGCGTGGGTCTTGTCCGCTCCGTGGGGCAGGTGCAGAGCTCCCCATTTGCTAATGGCTCTAGCCCAGACCATCACCACATTTGAGGAGGGATTGCAGCCTTGGTTGCTGCAATTGTTGTAAGTCACTGGAGGGGCAAGCCAACATTGGCCCATGCGGGGCTTGCTTTCACCTTCCCTCTGATCCTGAGCCCAAGTTCTTGAGCATTCTCTTTCCTTTTAACAAGCATCCCTACCCCTTTTTAAAGAAACACACAGACTACCTGTCCTCTGACAGTCGATGGAAACATCTGGCAGCACCGGCAGGCAGGTTTTTCCCTGCCGCAGCCCGAACCTGGAGACCTGCAGTTCTCCTGTGGCTGATGCAGGTGCTGAGGTGCAGCCTCACCGCCCTCCGTGAGCTCCAAGGCTGCGTACCAGCAGACCTAGGAAGCACCAGCAGGTTTCCAAACACTAAAAAGCTGTGGGGTTACTAGTGGTCGGTGTAGGCAGCCTGCCTGCCTTCCGTCCAGTTCTGCTGGAGGCTTCCATTCAGTAGACTTGGATGCTGGCAAACAAGCAGCCCAAGTGAGACCAGTTGGTCTCCCTTGCTCTCAGTGGGAGGCACTGGAGTTGCATCCCATCCCCACGTCAGCTCTTTGCTTTCTGAGCTCAGCTGGGCAGGATGAGTGCAGGCATGCCCTGGTTAAGCCCAGGGCTGGAGTGTTTTATAGCAGCCCAGAGAGCAGGACCCAGCGTCTTTGGGAAGTGACTTCAGCTTGTTCTGTTCATGACTAATGCTTGAGCATGATTTTTGGGGGAGGGAGGGAAGCAAGCTCCGCTCTCCCATCCCAAATCTTTCTGACTTCTATAAAATAGGGAGAGCGTCCCAGCGTGGACCGCATGGTTTAGCTCTGTTCTTTTTACTCCAGGTGACACTGTAAGGCTTGAAACTGTGACTGGCCCTTGGCTGAGCCAAACTCACCCTACCTATTCCAGCATCACCCATCTCCTAGAGCAGGTCAGCCAGCTGGGGGAGGGAGCCGGAGGGACCTCGGAGGTAGGAAATGAGCAGTGGTCCTCGGTCTGGGCTCCTCTCCTAATGCAGACAGAGCCCTTCTGGGCTGGAGCCTGGGACAACGGGAGTCACAGTATCGTAGCCCTAAAGAGGCTGAGCCTCCTGCCCTCTGGGGCCTTTCCGCGGTGGCTGGAGCGGGGAACTTGCCTGGTATTGCTACCGCAAAACGGGCTGAGTGACCACAACTGACAGCGCTCCCACTCACCCCTGCGGCATGGGGATCGCCAGACTGGGGCAGAGCCCGGCTCACCTGCAGTCTGCCTGGTGTCACCCGCTGCGGGGACCACCGTGAGAGCCCAACGGGGGTCAGGGAGACCTTCAGAGCAGCCCATCTGCCCCACTGTAACAAAGGCGTTCCGGACAGACAGCTGTCTAACCTGTTTTTAAAACCCTCCAGTATTGCCTCCCCCATATCACTGATTCTTACCTTAATCTTTACCTTCAGATAGATTTCTTCCCCACGCCCCCAATGCCTATCCCTCACTGCAGTTTAAGCTTGTTACTACACGTCCTGTCCAAGCACAGAGACAGGACACCTTGCATCCTTTCTCCTTGCAGCTGCAGAGGCTTAGCAGGACCAGCCATAATTTTATAACACTTACGTCCCTCATGTTCCTGCCTCTTTTAACATAAGAATAGCAAACTTCTCAGCCTATTTCCATATCAGGGTCTTTCTGTGCTTATCATTTTGACCCTGACTGTTTCTGCAGTATCCCTTTCCCTGGTGGAATGCCCTGGACTGTGCTTAATAGAAAGCATTAAAATATTTGCTATAATATTCCTCTTCTATATCTCTCTGTTTTGGTTGCTTTATTTGTTTTATCTGTGCTGAGCAGCACAAATCCCCAGTGGATTTTCCATGCTCAGGTTTTGCGGCCATGCTGACTCTTTGAGCAGCTGAATGCCCACCGAGCTCGTTTGTCCCCTTGCAAATGTATTTATTGCTTTGCATTTATCCACACGCAACTTCATTTACCATCGTGCCACCTGGTCACCCGTTTTGAGGAGATCTGGAGATTTCCTCAAGATCTCAAGAGTCCTCTTTGGTGTGAACCAGTCTAACCAACTTAGTATCATCTGCAGTTTCCCATCCCCACTCCTTACCTTCTTTTTTGGGTGACACCACCACCAGATGGAGCCTTTTTGCCACGATGAAAATGAACCACTAATTGTCATTTTCCTTTTCTCTTAATCAGCCCCCATTATCGACATGTCACTGTCCTCTAGGGTAGTTCTCTGGTTTGGTTGTGTCTCCAGCGGGACTTTTTCAGAGGACCTTGGAAAGAAAACAGTATATCAGCTTTTATTCACTAATTCACTGACACACTCCAAGAACTCTAACAGATTGGAGAGAACTTTTGCTTGTACAAAAAGCCATGCTGCTTGTAATTTATTCTCATCTTCCAGATAAAATGTTTCACCTTGCAAACCAAATGCAGCTGGAAGGCCAGCAGACTTTAAATGAAGAACATTTTTCAGCTTTATGGTAGATGATCAAGCCTTAGTAAAGTCTGTGATACCAGGACAGAGAAGGGAACTTTTAAAATAGGTGCTATAGCAAAGGAAGGTTTCCATTTTATCTGTTTTCTCAGGGGATTTGCAGGGAGGATTCTCTCAGGATATCAGCATATTGTCTCCCTCTGCTCTCACCTCTCCTAGCCTTCCTGACACTGGTTAGCAAGTGGAAAAAAGCTTGAACTAGGACTGTGAATGGGCAACTGGTCTGTAGTGCTGTGTCCTGTCACTGGATGGCAACAGCACTGCAGGCACAGCCACCAGGGTGCTGGCTCCGAGGGAAAAAAAAACAAACAACCCTTCCAGGTCCCATCTTTGTCCAGGAGCCCTCAGTATCCATCAGCTGTGGTCTGCACACCCAGAGCTGTGGGCGTGCACTGTGCTCTGACCCATAGCACAGGCAGGCATCACTGGTTTGTACTGGACTACTGGCAGGGAAAGCGCCAGGTGCTTTAGTGGGGCAGGAACAGACTGCAGCAGGGTTGGATTTGCTGGGATCAAAGCAGACCAAGGTGAGAAGGCTTGGTTCTCCCCAGAAGCTGATGCTCTTTGTAGGGTTGGTGGGCTCTTTCGTGAGGGCCGCAGCGGGTATCTACCTCGAAGCCCCACTCGGCAGAGTTTGGGCAGGGGGCCTGGACAAGGTACCACAGGCCACCTTGACTACATGCAGAAGGCTTTTGCTCTGGGACTGGCAGTGCCAGGAGCCAGTTTTACAAAAGAAGTACATCTCTGCTATAGAAGCAAGAGCTCTAGATAAAGCTACTTTCCTAGAATAACCCCAGACTCCCTTTACAGGGCTGAATTAGCTACTTTATTCTGCGGGGATAAAGCCCTGATCAACTACAATATTTTTAGCCAGTGTAAATGTTGTTTAACCACCAACCCAGTCACATATTGTACCTTGTAGGAAAGCAAGCCCATCTGATGCACTGAATAGCAGGCTGTCCCTGCTGCTACCTTCCTAGCCACTGTGGTGCTACTGGGGCACGACTGTCCCTCGGGCTTTGGCTTCTTCCCTTGGTGAGCAAGGGAAACATGGGTGGGAAGCCCTCAGCTGGAAAATGAAAGCAGAAGATGAGGAGAGGGCTCTGCCATTCACAAGGAGAGGATTGTTCACTGAATCATTTGGGTTGGCAGGAAAGTCTCACCCCCACTCAAAGCAAGGCTACCTAAATCACCGCAGGGTTTGGTGGACAGCTGCTGAGCGAGCATGCCATTTTTCTAGCATCAGAGACCCAAGCTGGGTTTGCACCTGAGGAAGGACTGGCTCTCTCTGACACCTACAACTTAGCTGCACCCACTGGTACCAGTGCCTGCCTGGTCTGCTCACTCCTAGAGCTGGTAGGAAGAGGGACCAAAGAAAAGCCTGTGCTGGTTCCCTTCTCCACCCAGCCCCAGGATTAACAGACGGGATGGCTTCAGCATCACAGTGCCTGGTGAAGGCTGACATGCACCCCCAGAAGTAGCAAAGAGGGGTTGCGGGCTGTCCAGGTAGCAGTGCCAGTCCCCAGGGCTGGGGGAACCGTACGTGGATGCAGGTCAGGGCAGCTGATCACAGCCCCACTCAAGGCCACAAGCTCTACACTGTGGTTCCTTGTACCTCTCCCTGCCAGCTCCCTACCTATCAAGGGGTGCAGGAAGGAAAAGGTACATTTGGTGAGGATTTCTTTGTGCAAGAGGCTACCCCAGGAGAGGTGTTAAGGGAGCATGGCACAGGGAGTTGTCCAGACAGAAAACTCTTGGTTCAAGCAGAAGCATCTGTCTTCAGGAGGGTGGGCAGAAGAATTTCATTCAGAGGGTTATAATGGATGCATAGAAAGGGGGTGAGAGTCTGAAGAAAGAGTCCCATTTACTGAGCCTATTTGAGAGCATTTTTCACTCCCACCCTCTTTGCTTCTGGACAGAAGAATCTGCCTGAGCTATTAGTTTGCTTGTCAGAACCACCTCTCCCTTCTAGCCATTCCTCACACTGCGAGCCAGATCCCGAGCCATCCCTGCCAAACGCCGGGTGCCACAGGGTTCAGGCTGGCAAGGACCAGCACTGCCCTGGAGAAACTGGTCTCTTCATGGTCAGGACTGGTGGCAGCCTTCTGTGAAGCTCTGTGTGATGGGTTTTACACATATACTTGAAACCACATTATTAATTCTGGTTCTTCCTTGCCTTCTTCACAGTATCAAAGCGCATGGTGTTTCACAGCTCCTTCCCTTCTCCACCCCTCCAGGAAGCCCCAGTCTCTCCCAGCACTGCAGGAAGGGGACAGGGTGTATGATGGAGTAATAAAGCATGCTTTGCACTGACTCTGGAGGGAAGGGACTTGTAAACACCTTTCCTTTCCAGGGGAGGAGGAGAGGAAGACCACAGGTTGTCCCAGTAGCAGCAGGGAGATGGGGAACAAGCTCTGTCTGCAGGCCAGCCTTTCCCCAGTGCGGGTCATCTTTAAATGGCAGGCAAAGGGGCTATGTGGAACATGGTGGGTTGCTTTTACCTGAAAAAAACCCATTTCTTTCACAAATATTCTGTTTTAAAATGATGTAATATATATATGTGAAAATAAAAATGGTACATGCAGTGCAAACTCTTTTCCTGGCTGTGTTGAGGGTTTTCTTCCAGAAGCTGTACTCCTTTGCAGGGTGCTCTGGGTAGCTCTTGGGTGCATTATAGGTCCCATGCACAAATTTGCACAAGCTAGTCTCAGTTGCCCCATTAGTTTAGGGATACCAGGCCTTCTTACACTTTCTGTAGCATGAAAAGTTAGATAGGGAGAGAAATCTGCTGCTGAAGCTTGCTTTGCCATCCCTGAGAAATACTGCCTTCACAGCAGATGCTGTGGGGATGAAGAAGAGACCACGGTAGTAATCTGCTGTCTGATCAGCTGCTCAGCCTGCCCAGAAGTTAAGGATCTTATCTCTGGTGCATCCACACCTCCCTAGTAGGAAACAATAAGGACAGGAAATTGCAAAGGAAAAATATTTTACAGAGGAGTGGAACAGGATTCTCAACTGCCATAAAACACTCCAGCAAATCAAAGGGAGATGGGTGTTCATATCAGAAAAGCCCAACATGTACAAGATGGAGGGATGCTACCACTGTCCTGTATTGGAACGACAGCAATACCTCCTGCTAGCTAACCACTCCAGCTGAGTGCCCAGAGAACTCACATTGCTAAGCGGAACTAGGGTTGGCACAAAGATGGGAAGCTGGGGCTCCTGCAACAGTCGCTGTCCTGGGCTACCTTTCCCAAATACCAGCTCAAATCCCCAAGCTACACCACTCTCAGCTGCTCTCTTTTCGCATGCCAAGACAGGGCATGAGCTTGTACCAAGCTGCCCTCCCTTTCCTGCACTGCTTTCCTTTGCTCAGAGACAAACCTTGCTGCTTACCTGATTTTTTCACCCCTCGCAGGACAGGTCTGGATACCAGCTTCCACCAACTGTTCCTACTGCAGAGCTCCAGCAGTATCTGTAATGGGCAAAGAAGCAGGTGACGTCAGGGGGACAGGATGCTTTAACACCACTGCCTGGGGGGTGAGAGCTGTACCTTGTTAATGAGCACACTGCCTCGCTAATAAGCACAGACACCCCCAGTCACCCCCACCTGGAACCACTTCTGCTGATGCCTTCCCACCTCCAGCACTGGTCACTGTAGTCCTTGCTTTTGGGGCTGGGAGGAACCTCCCAATGGAGTCCCAGTCTCTTGGTCACTGGTTGTGGTGGGAGCCCAGGGCAGCCCCTGGTGACTGCGAGGTGTCGGGGGAGATGCTGTCTCCATCAGTCCTTGCTGATGGACATGGAGCATCCTTCCCGTTTCCCTGTCCCCACCCTCGATAAGGATCTGCTGTTCTGGCTAAGAAAAGGAGGGGGGTGGGCAGTGGCAGGATTTGTGGTTACTGTAGGATGCTGTGGTGTAACGGGGGGGGGGTTTACAATGGGGGTGGCTCTGCTGGCATCGGTCAGCCAGCTTAGCGATGAATCCAAGTGACTGCACAGCTCCCATCCCCTGCTCTGTCCCATCCCACGTCATTGCAAACAAGTCTGTCGATCCAACAGAGCAATGACGGCTTCGTGCTGTTACCCTTCGTGCTCCGTGGGTGCCTGGATTTGCAATTTCTACCTCTGAATGCCAGTCAGTTAAAATGAGGGAGGAGAGATGGAGGGCAGGATGCCTGCCAGCATGGTCTGGGACCAGACGGTGCCGGAGGGTCTGAACCCAGGCCATGCCCATTTTCTGCAGAATGAATCCAGGGGAATGTGTATGTGAGCTCTGGGAGAAGGAGAGGAGATGAAGGCTCCGGTTATAAATTGCTGTAGAGAGTGGGGGCTCAGGCTTTCCACACAATCAGCCAGTAGCAGATTAAGCATTGGAATCTAAACAAATATTTACCCTCTAGTTTCTGGTCTCTATAAATAGCCCTATGTCACAGTTGCCAGTTGGTACTTTAGGATTGCTGCAGTGAGATTCGAGCAAGATGAGAGTATTCCCAGTCACGCAATCTTGCGCATACCTGGCTGACCTGACGCTCTGCACATAAAAACATGCTGCTGAAACTCTGTCCCTTGTTGTCACTGCCTCTCTGTGCAAGTATAGGTTAAACTTTAACAAAAGATAAATGGCCCCAATTAAAGAGCCAGCTGCTCCTCTAATCCACTTTGTGTCCTGCCCCAAAACCAGATCAAGCTCCTAATTAAATTACCAAAAAAAAATTAAGGCCGCTATTATTGAAGTGTTTGCCTTTGGCCATTGAAATAGAATTGACCCTAAACCAGAATCCAAGATCTGGTAGCAATCTAGATCTAGATCTGGTATTTGAGACGGGTACCTTATCTCTAAAACTGGGTCAAACTCTGAACCACCCAGAGTTTTGCGGAAATAAAGGCTTTTCTAGTTAACTTCCAGGATATGAAATGAGAGTGGGCAGGAGCTGGGAAATCACACTTGTTTTTATCACCTTCATTTTAAAAATAAAAATCCTTCACTCCCAGGCAGGTTTCCTTCATTTGGCATGTGTTTGAAGCTTCTCAGCCCCTGGCTAAGATTCAGCATGCTGTCATTACAATGTCAGGGATACGCTTCCTCCCAAGGGCTTGTTCACGTCCATTCATCTCACGCATCATTTCTAGCACTGATATCTGGGATTCCACATGGGACCTGGCTGCATTGACACAAATGAATTGAAGGAAACAGACTTTGATCTCCCAGCTGAAAGGGGAACACGTGCAGCAGTAAAACCCCATGATTGACATGAACTGGCACTAGCACCTCCGACAGCGGGAGTGCCTTTGTGGCAGCGCTGTGAGAATAGCTTGCAGCAAACAGTTTACTAAGCCAGTGGTTTTTTCCATCCTCTGAATTGGCAGCCAGAGGTACAGAGTCTTCTCCAATTTATTCCTTATTCCCAGATCTCCCTGAGTTTCCCTGAACAATCTCCATGTATCAGGGTGGTCTGGGCAAGTTCAAGAGATGACAAGCCTGGAGCTACGTCTATCGGTTAGACCACGGGGTGAGGTGAGCTTGTTCCAGCACACGTGACTGTTCTGACACGTATGAAGTTGGGCTCTGCTCTGCTTTCCTGGCAGTCATACAGCTTTCCGGATCAAAGCTGGAGTCTGTCCAGATATCAAGAATTCTGGCAAAGCAATTTCATGTCTGCACTCAATATACCATTTACACATACCCTTATCGTCAGATGGCTGTGGGGAATACTGCAGTAATTCAATGCCCTTGCATGGATCTCTCTTGTAAAGGAGGAACCTCTTCTATTAAAGTTAGAAGACCTGATTCAGCACAAAGCAAGCAATAAATTCAGTTTTCTACTTACACCAGTCCTTGAAGGAGACCAAACCATAACACCGCCTTTGTTCAAGTTGTATTTCTAATTCAGAACTCCCTCTCTCCAAAAATGCCCTCGCATTTGCTTGAACTATGACTCTGCCCATCAACTTGTTCACCAGAATAGTCCAGGGAAGTAACCTGGCATTTACCATGTGCTGATTGTGCTCTTCTGGGGGGATTTACACCCGTGATTTAGGTGGGGTTGTTCTACACTTACTCTGCAGAACCTGGCCCAAAGGTCAGAAAGCTGAAACTGGATGAGGTCTACATGGCTCAGATGACACCCTCTTTGAACTCTATGGCAGCACACAAGTAGCACAAGACGTTTCACAACCCTTTTTTCCTTGTGAGCTTGCAAAATTGTGTAGCTAAACAATGACAACACATGCAATGACCATGGCTCAGCTTGAAAATAAAGCAATCCTACCATCAAGACACCAAGCAGCAAGGCTTTGCCAAGGCAGCAGCACAGCTTTCTAAGAAGAAATGAGTCATTTTTAGCAGCTGGCACATATGAGTGAGGGAAAGGCAAACCCACAAAGACAGCAAAATTCTGGCACTCTACAGCTTGTTCAGACTTTGAGCCTTGTCTTTAAAACAATTCATAGATGCTCATTTTGTTATTTGCAAGCAGCGTTACTCCAGCTGCATCCCCATCTTTGTTACTCCTTGGTGCAGATGTCGTCAGGGGAAAACACAACTAAGCATCATTCCCAGCAGAAGCATTGTCCTTCATCCCTTCTAGACTTTGTAGCTGGCAACTCCTCCGTCGCTGAACGGAAAAAAACATGCTTCTGCCACGACAAGTTTGTGTGGACCGTCATGCCAAGGGTAAAGCCACCACTTAAGAACTACCCCAGCTGCTGAGGAACTGACCTTAAAAGCCACCAGAGAAGGACATCAGGAATGGATACTGCATTTCTCCTGTGATCTGCTCACCGTCTCTACCTGGACGATGCTCAGATGTGAACCATCTGCTCTCCTTCACAGCTGGCTGCAGCCTTCTGGAGAGACTGCTGCAAGAGGCAATAAGCACTTTACTCACACATCTCTATATCTGGGAAAAAAATGAAGAATAAATGACAGGCTTGTAACAACTCACAAAAAAACAAAGGGAGGTCCTAAATAAGAGTAACACCAAGGTTAGAGCTGTTAGCTCAAGAAGAGGAGGCGCACTTCAGAACAAATAAATGAAAAAAAACCACATTTATCCTATCTTCCGAGTGTTGTGGTTTCTCTTCCTGTAATAAAACCTTGGCTTTCTGCAGATTCTTTACCTTTATTTTCCTTCTGGTTCCTGTATTCTTTCACCTTTTCACTTTCTATTTCTGCTACAACTGAAGAAACAAAGAAGAAAAGCATAGTTTTTCTCTTCTCAAAGCACTGTTTTGATGCATTTTGACAGATTCACAATTCTCAGAAAAAAATATTTAGGGCAAAAAGAAGCAGTCACTGAGGTTTTCCCTCCTAGTAAAAAGGGCATTTCCATTAAAAGAACAAGAAAATACTTTAATATAAGTTTCTTGGCCAATCCGATCTTGAGCTGAACTCTATAGTGAATGCAGGTGTAGAGGTAACGTGGCTTCCCAGGTCTGGTGGAAGCCTTGAATTAATAAGTTAGGGTAGAAAACTCCTTCTACTGAAAATCCAAGACAGCTGGTCCCTTTCTTCTTCATGATCACCAGCAATAAAAACCTTGCAGGCTGACTAATGCCTTCCCTAACACCTGGACAAAGCTCGTTTCCAGGTTTTATGCTTACTGAGCCCTGGGCAAGCCGAGGGCTTGGCAGACCCCTTGGACCTGGAAAAGCCCTTGTGAAGGACCCTGACCTCCTAGCGCTGCCAGCTTAGTAATGCTGCATTAGCAGGAGGGAAAGGTGAGTTATAAATCACAGGCAGGAGGCTGCGTTAGCCAGGGTGTGTGCAGGAAAGGGTTACACCACCCTGCTCCAGGAATAAGAGGCATCCAGTCTACTAGAGTTCACCATTCGATGCCTGTTCCTGGTGCTTGTCTTGCTTTCCCAGTTCACTACCTGAACCACCTGGGTGGGGAAATATCCGAGAACTTTTCTTAGAGTTGCAGAAAACAGAGCTAAAGGTCCAGAAGCCGTCTACTGCTTTTTTAAGACCTCAGGGATGTAAGTGTTGCCCCTCAGTTTCTGGCTTTCCTCTGAAAGTACCAGCAGGAAAACCCTCTCCCCAGTGTTTTTGTAACTGGTGAACATCATGCCCTTACTACAAAGCCTTGCCTGGCTGGAAATCTGCACCAGTGTAATTTAGGGCACATCAGCACAAAAGTGAACTTGATTTAAGTGAGAGCATCACTTGAAACCGCAATAGCTTTTCTCAATTAGCTCTGCGTGTAGGAAAGACCTTGAAACGCATTTTAAACTGCTATATTAAGGCATGACAAAATCCTTTGTGAACACTATTATTCTGGCTCAGTATAAACCTGATACCCCAATCTGACAATAATACAAGGGTTGCAATCATGACTTAGTAAGACATAACTAAGTGGCTGAGATGTGATAACACTTAACCCGCTGCAATACAACACCCTGCCAGTGACTTTGTACCATTTTTTGCAGCTTTTTTTTCCTGAGGCAAGGGCTGAGTCCTCTGAGACAAAAAACCCAGCCTTCTGCACATCCCCAGGTACCATCCTCGCAGCGCCAAAGCCCAATATCCCACCGTGCATGATGCGATACGAGCGGACGACATGGCCCGGCATGGTCAGGGACACCGGAGTTACGTGCTCTCCCTGATGTGACAGCTGCAGGTCAAAATTAGTGCTACCAAGTACTCCAGTAAAGCAGGTATTACTGGTCATGGTACTTGAAGGCAAAATATTTTATGCCAGATTAGTGCTGGGCTGGGTCTGTGCATGTGGTTAATTAAGGAGGCTCAGCTAGAGAGTGGCAATTTGTTAAGCTGCATAACTTAATTGCTTGCAATCATCTGCCTATCCCCATACTACGCTACTCCTAACATGAAAGAAGGCGTTGAGCTGTGTCCGTTAAAATTTATTCTTTTGGCTACTGAGGTGCAACTTCTGCATGCAGATAAGCCCTAACTATTCCCCTTACGGTTATCGCACGTCAGCAGCTCTGTACGCCAGCTCTGCTACTGACAAACAAGCAGTGCTATGAGAAGCCCCGATATTCAAAATTTACCTCAAAACTCAGCCTGACCTTTCCGTTCAGCTGGCCACGAACACAGCCCTGCGGGATGCAGAGACCCCAGCCACGGGAGAGCCAGGCGAGCCGCGACGGGCAGAGAGAAATCAAAGGCTGAGCCTTAAAAAATTAAGGAGCCTTTTCTGCTATTCATCTCACAACAGTTTGTTCCTGTGATTAGCTATAACCAGCCAGGGTTGAGAAAGGATCTTGTGCCTTAGGGAAGGGCCAGTGCTCCTGTGCATCCAGGTCCAGCAGTGTCCTGCAGGCAGTACCTTTTAACACACTGAAAACTGGACTTTAATGCTAAGAAAGATCCGTTTTAAATTTCCCTCTAGTGGAGAAAGCGTGGAAATTCAAGCTGCAAGGTTCAGCTCACCGAGCAGTCCACATCCAAGTTTTGAGGGGCTGAGAGATCTTGCACTGTCTGGCCCAGGGCCACCTCAGCACTTGCAGAAAAAAACCACAACTGACCAGCTGGAAATTCCTATATAATTTCATATCATCCGGAATTTTTATTTCAACATAACTGAAAACTTTAAGACAAGCTTTTATTCTTCAGAAATAAAACTAGGGGATTTTTTTTTTTTAATGGCTTTTCATACTGATAAATTAAATGTTTTATTCTGTAATGTCAAGGCTGGCAGGTTTGGGTTGCTCAGAAGACAGTGATTGCCATGAAGGTTCCTCCCTGGCCACGGCCGTGTCCTTTGTGGCAGCTCAGTGAGCACACTCACGCTCTCATCAGTGGCAGACAAACCAGGACGACTTTATTGCCAATGTAAATCAGAGAAGCTCTGCTGGCTTCTGAGGAGCACTGCAGATTTATGCCAGGAGCTGACCCGGCATCTCTATTTTCAAAACTAGGGCAGATTGAAATATGCTGTTTTTCAATAATATATTCAGGTTAACAGGGCTTTTATATTTGGGCAATTAATCTTGCATAGACTGAGAACCTCTTGGGACAACGTGCAAAGGTTGCTAAGAAGAAGAAAACACACACAGTTGTGTAACTCGGTTCTCCCATGTCTTTTCTTTCAGGAAAACACATTGCAGTGGTACAGCAGTGATCTGAAACCCAGCAGTAATACTATTTTAATAATCAGAAGCATACCAAGACATAGTATAGAAATTATTTTACTAAGAGGTAGTATTACCTCATCTTGTATTACTGTAAAATGATTCAAACCAGAAATATTGAGACATAAATCTGTGGTAACAGAGGAAAACCAATATTGTGCTAGAGAAAGTCTTTCCTGTTTATTGCAAGCCCGTTCCCTCCCGTGGCATGTGCTCACACAGAAGGGGAGGCCTGGGGCACGCACACACGCTTGTCTTCGTGTGTCTGGGCACGAGCTCACACCATATTTAAAATCACTCCGGGTCCCGGTCCCAGTCCCGATCCCTGGTTGGTGCCACCAAAAACTCTTCCCAAACCTGATCCTTGTCTTTCTGCACTCCCTCTCGCGGTCTCTTCTATCTGCCCAGCAGCCCTACTGCCATCTGCCAGTGTCTTCAACTTAATCATTACCTAAGAAACACCGTAAGAGATGCTATTCGGAAGTCCAGACAAGCGAGGTGTACCACATCTTCTTGCTTAGGAAGCAGACGCCTGCCCAGGCAATGGCATCCAGCCTGCTGCGATCCACTTTCAGCAAATCTATTACATATTATCCCATTTTTCCAGGTACCTCTATGTCTTCACCTATCCCTTTCTTTGCTCTAAAGCTCGAGTAGGACTGATACATGACTTTTAGGCCTGGAATTGCCTCTGCTGGTTTTTTCCTCTTTGCATTTGCTATTCCCCAGTCACGCAGCATCATCCCCAGCTTCACAGATTTACCGGGATCCTTGTAATTTGTCCCTTAGTTTTTAATTCTTCAGCACATTAGACTCTAAAATAGCCTGGGAATACAACTGCTATATGCCAAGCAAACCAGTCATCATGGCTCTGTGCTTAAGCCCAGGAAAGGAAATACTACCGGCTAAAAACTGTTGATCTGCTTGCTTTCTGACAAAGTTGCCAAAGCCTGGTGAAGGCAATGCTACCCAGCGATCTGCGTGATGACTGCTTCAGCGGAGAAGTGGCTGACTGCAATGGAAACCATTCAGTCACATATAGTAGCTGCATCACTGCACGACAGAAGTTTCCAATCGCAAATAGCAACAGACTCTGAAAGGCTATGCAGGTGGCTACTGCTTGATTAATGTGTGCTGCATCTGTTATTTCAAAGTGGCAATTACGCTATATAAACACACCACTGCAATAGCAGGGCATTGATTTATGCTAGCTGAAAATCTGTGCCTTTACACTGTTTTTTTTCTTTCTTTCCCCTCCCACAAAAAATAATTTCCTTCTGAGCTCAATAAAACAAAACATCTCATTGGTTCTATGTTATAACAGTAATATTGCATTCTGCTAGGAACCAGCAATCCTGCCTCTGGCCATGAAATTCAGGTAATGACCCGTAACTGAAGTAAATTAGTGTTTCATTTCCCATCCCTTGCAGACAGCTTACTAATGGAAATTGATTTCTGGCTTTTTTCTTTTTCATTTAACATGCTTGTGTAATGTCTTTATTTTAGATTCAAGTGATTTCCAGTGAATTTTAGCCAAAAGGCTAGTGTACAGGCGGCCACCGAAAGCATCTGGTTAATCAATGTTGCGTTAAAGAGCGCATGGGGGACTGGCATAGCAGGGACATCCTCATACGTGCAGCCGGCTCCTTCTGTCCTGTGCTCACACTCACGGACACGCTCCGGGACAGATCCTCAGAGGGAATAAATCAGCAGAGCTTGCAACCATGTAACACGCACGGAAGTCGTACTGTTATGGACCTGATCCCTTATGCACAAGCTCTTACACAATTACCACATTCATTTATACGTGACACACTTTAATTTATACTTTCGCACACCCAACACGCTCCCAGCCCGATAAAAAGGTGCTTCTCTGTCCCATGCAGCCACTCTCTGACCTACAGGCAAGATGCGTGTCCTCAAACCAAGCCAAGAGCCTCAGATGTCACATCTCGGTGGCGTCGGGACCCAGAAGCCGGTGCTGTCCTCCGCACGGTTGCTCAACCACCCCCAAATCCCCTGTAATTCTTGCCGAACATGGGCTCTCTTGTGTAATCTGATACAGCCACCAGCGAACGCACACACACCCTTTTTTCTGCTATTTAGGTAAAACTCAGCTGACAATTTCTTCATTGTATAGCAGCACCAGCATTAGAGACAGAAGCTGGCCTTGGATGTCCAACCCTTTTTCTTTGCAAGAGAGAGAAAGGCAGTAAGAGGCGGTAAGGTTTTTTACAGCTCCTACCCTGTTAAGTTGTAACAGCTGTGAGACAAAATAAGGTTTTATAAGAGTGTTGCGTTATTTTCAACCCTCAGTTACTTCTGCAGTCTATCAGGTTAGTCTGGCAACTACAAAGAAGTTGGGAGCAGGGAAAAACCTACTTTTCCCATTTTACCTTTCAGAAGTACTATGGAGGAACCAGAACTCAGCTGGTGCTGGTTTACACTTTAAAAGCAGGACTAACAGCTATTATTTTTCTCAGTGTTCGGTTGATTTTCTAGTTCCATAGACACTTTAATAGCGCTATAAATTGTCTAGTAAAGGAATTGTTGGTTAGAGATGGTGTCTGGGGTATTTGTTCCTTATTGATGTATAAATTGGCTTGTACTGCTGGCGTGCATTTCTAAAGATGAATGCTTTGTAGTGTGATGATAATAATAACAATTAGCATAGGATATAGCAAAGTGTTAATTGTGAATTAAAATCCCAAACAGAGATGCCTGTGCAGATCAGTCCTCTCCTGATGCTCCCTGTTTCTCTGACCAGTGCTCAGAGTGCCAGGGACATTTCCCTGGGCGAGGGAATTTTCTGTGCCTGCTTCTCTCTTCTTGCATTGCTAAAACCAATCTTTCCCAAGTGCATTTGCTCGGGTGCAATTTGTGTTTATGCTGATAGCACAAAACTGCTGTCCTCCTTGCAAATTGTATGTGTTATTCCCGATGAATGCTAATTTGGGTTTAATTCCTTAATGGATCAAAAGGACAGGTGAATACAGAGACCAAAGGCGGGAGGACAGAAGACTGGCAGGTTCAGAGCCCTAGTGAGGATAATGGCAGGGAAGATATGGGAGAGAGAATGAAATGCTAGATGTTATCCTTATCACAGCTGTCTTGTGTGGGAGCATAATGTAATTATTAAAGTAAATGTTCCTTCCTCTTATGCAAGAGGAAGACCGTGAGCAAATTAAGAAACTACTCTTGTGTCTCAGCTTACCTGCTTACAGAGGTGAGAATCTACCTCTGCCTGCTAGGGCTGCAGAGAGGATTAAACAAGGTTCATTGAGCCCTTAAAATTTGCTGTAAGGGTGTTGTCTTGCTATAGACCTCATTTAAAATATAAATCCATGGTGAAAAATTAAATGAAGTCAGAATGGACAGGGTTTTCTGGGCATGATCTGTCTGGGTTTTCAAATTCAGAATAGCATGCAGAGGAGAGATAACAGCTCTGCTGAGACGCGTAGCCTCCGTGTATGTACACTGAAGTTTGTGTGCTGTCTGACTTAGGCATTTGGAGGAGGAATGATAAAAGTAACTGCAGTCTTGTCTTCTAAGAATATAACCACCTTAGCTGAACCCTGCCACACGAATATTGTAAGAAGCCATGAAATGGCAGGGGGGAGGCACTTTGCTGGGTAGATCAAGGGGAAAAATGTAACCATGACAGAAATAATTACCCCTTTTTCAGAGATCGGGAGATGGGCAGAGGGGAGCCAGCAGTAGAGCTGAATATGATATTAAATACTTACCTTCAGCCTTAGAGTCTAAAGCGGAATATGGGCAATTAGAGAAAAAGCTTGAAAGATCTAAGTAGGAAAAAATGTCTTTAAAGTGATAATCAATTATTGCTTTTAACTTACAACAGGCAAAAGGCTACTTCAAGCCACCAAGGAAGGATGTGGGCTTATACTGTTGGGTTTACTGTCCTGCCTCATGTTGGAGGTTTCCTTGGCTGGTTCATTAATCGAAAAGCAATACCTGTTTGGTATGAGAAGCTGAAAAAACCTTCATGGTGTCCACCCCGCAAAATGTTCCCTGTTGCTTGGACTGTCCTCTACACTGGCATGGGGTAAGTTCTGCATACCGCTCCCTCTCTCGTCCTGCTGTGTCTGATACACAGAAGAGCAGTCATTTCAAACTCCTTCATTTGCTTTTGGGATATCCCTTGTACCCGAATCAGCAGAGCACGTCAGGTACTCTTATTCCCAGCAGATGAAATACAGCCTCAGCCAAATTCTGGGCTGAGTTCCTCAGATTCACACCGCAGGCAATGCTTTTGGCCAGGGACACAGCCCATGCTCAGCTTTGTAAACAGATATTAAAACAGGCCACTGCTCTGGGGAAGCTGTACGAGCCACGCAGGTATGACACGGGCGATGGGTCTGAGAGCAGCGAGGGACACGGATGCAGCTGTCGCTCAAATATGACTGTCCTGCGAGTCCCTGTTGCGAAACAACCTCACATGAAAAGATGCCATCTGTATTAGGGGGTTTACTCACTGCAAAACACTGATGCGTTTCCCTCTTCGCAGCTATGCCTCCTACCTGATATGGAATGACCTGGGTGGCTGCAGCAGCAAAGCTCTCGTCCCACTTGGCCTCTACGGGGCTCAGCTGGCCTTGAACTGGGCTTGGCCTCCCCTCTTCTTTGGTGCACGTAACCTGAAGATGGTAACGTATCTGCCCATCCATCCATCTGCTGGAGGCTTGTTTGCTGGTGTTCCTGCCACGGGTTTGGGGGTTATTTGGAGGTTTTCTAACTAGCATTATGCAACTGTAAAGAGAGCTGCAAGAAGAGCTTTTGCTCTGATACAACTCATGCTGCACCTGGTTCTAGACAATGATATCAGTACCTTCCACTCCTCATCCTGCTCTTGATATCCGCGCAGATAGCCGGCCTGACCAGAGCAGGGCGGGAGATCAGGGAGGCAATAGCCCTGCTGCATCTCCCAGTTAAGGGTTCGGGGTTAGAGATAAGTCCTTCTGGGAGTCACACCCTGCGCCGGCAAGCAGCAAAGTTAGCATCCCCAGGGTTGCATATTAGCTGCGGGTGGCTTATCGAGCAAATACAATGCACTGTGCATTGCAGAGTCTGTTAGGAGGATGTGCACGAAGGTAAGGCACGGCACAGCTGAGCCTGTGCTATATTCAAAAAGGACTTACTTCAGGTGCCAAGGCCTAGAGGTGACCGAAGCAGAGAGTGGGATTTATGTTTCCACCTGAATTTTGTCACTTTGTGGATGAAAGGTACATTTAGAAAGTTTGTTAAGTGATATTAGCCATCAGTATTAACATAAGCATGTTTCTGATCTGTCTGCATAGGCATTAGCAGAAGGGGACACTGATCATCACTAACAGTGTGTTAATCTGCGGAACTCGATAATGAACAAAAAAAATTAACATTAGCCTTGGCTCCTGGTGTGACACATTCAGATCTCACTGATTAGAGTTCAGAGCCAAGGTCCTGGGGTTTAGGATCACTCTAGGTGACTTTTCAGCACTAGACCTCCCCTTATTCCTATTCCACCTCACCACCTTTAGTAGGATGGTTTAGAGAAAGAAGAAGGGGAAGACTGCTGCGTGTTCCAAGGGTGAGCACCACAGTCAGTGTGTTCTCTCTGCTCCAGGCACTGATTGACATCCTGTGCTTGGACGTCCTGGCGATAGGCACGATGTGCTCCTGGTACCGCATTAACAAGATAGCAACGCTGCTGATGGTGCCTTACCTGGGCTGGCTGGCCATGGCGACTTGTCTCACAATCCACATCTGGAAGGACAACCCTGAGCAAAAACCAGGAAAGAGTGAATAAGAGCGGGACAGATATGAAGGCATTTTGTGAAACTAAACTATGCTGATGTGAACCAAGGTCTAATAATTTGGGGGATTCATTTTGGGACAGGCATCAGAACATGCCTCCTCGTCCCACGTTCATCGTGGTTGTGTGAAAGAAAGGTTTGTACCATGCGCTTGTGTGCTCCTTTGAAGTAACCATGCATCCTTAACCTGGGAACTATTTTCTCCAGCACTGTTGAGATTCGGGGGCTACAGCTGTATGGTGACCTTAATGCTATGAGGTCAAATTCCATTAGCCAAATTAGGATCTCACGATACCAGCATAATTCAGAGTAGCAAACCTGGACACCCTCGAAACCGCTACCATTCCCCCAGAGAGCAGAACTTGTTCACACACGTGGTAAATCCCATCTCCTCTTCAGGGACCAAACAAAAATGGCCTTCACTCATGCACACCGATTTTTAAGAACTTGATTTTTTGCTATTTGTGCTGTTGCTTCATTTTCACATATCAGCTGGTTTGTGCTTTATACCATTAACTTTTTATCTGTCAGCTACTGAGCAAGCAGTAGCCTTGTTCTGCTAGTGAAAGGAGACTGGGCACTTTGACTTCTATTTGTGGAGTATCACACTTCTTGAGTTTCATGCTCCAAGATAAAGCAGCAATGATTAGAATGCAAATGCTTCTCCCAAGGGGAAATTTCTCTCTTCCACCTCTGTGTGCTATTCCTCATCAGAAAAGAAAAACTAACATCAGTGCCTTTGAAAAAAATATTTTAAATGGTTTTTTTAAGTACAGAAACACAAGAGCTTTTGTAAAATTTAAGAACTTGCTCACACTGCCTTGAAGGTTGTAATTACATGATTGGCAAAAAGCCCCATGCCAAGTCTGTCAGGTGCAGTACAATTATCTCATCCCAGTCTTTCCACTCCTGAATATTATTGATCAGGAAAGGTTAAAATACATGTAGTTCCAGAGAAATGGGACCAAGCTGTGGCAGAATCAGACACAAGAGGAGCATGGACTAGCCCTTGTCCATTCTTTATTCTGGTCATTGCCTTTGATAGATCTGAACCTTAGATGTTGCTGTCTACAGAGAATATTTGCTATTATTTTTTAATTGATAGAATGTGAAGAAAAGTGGTAAGTGGATCTTCTTTCTGGCAGCTGCCTGTAGATTAAGGTGCATGGGTATACTTGCAAAGGGTGGGGGTGGGAGAGCTTAGCTGGGGATGTAAAATAAATTGTATTTGCTTTTAACCAAGCCACTTCTGTTTGGAGAATAAATAAATCCAAGTTATTCTTGTTTTACTGATTTGGCACTAGGTTTGCAAAAGCTCAAGGGATCCTGTCCGGAGTCCGTGGCTTGTGCTCTGACTCCAAAGGGAAGGGGATGGGCAGCCAGACTCATTCCCGGTGCATGTTAGGAGTAAATGGGCTGTGTGGGTTTCGAGCCTAAAAGTCCCAAAGGTCCCTCGAGCCCCTGCACAGTGCAGACACGCTCACTTGGGGATCCATCCCCGTGACAGGCTCCTCCATTACGCTTCGCCCACAGCTTCAAGGTAAGGAAGCTAATTCTTGGGTCTGAGGTCCTTCCTGAGTGACGTCAAGCCTGATTTTTAGAGATGCTGAATGTGCCCGGGTCCAACTCACGTCAATGGCAGAGCTGGGTGCTCAGCATGACTGAAAGCTGGGGCCAAGAGAAACAAATACCAGCAGCTGAGAGCAGCTGAAATTTGTAGTACCTTTTTAAAATTTGGCCATATATCTTGTTCTGTCATTTTGATCCCCTCCATTATTTTTCCCTTCTAGCTACAGGACACCTTTATACAAGACTGCTGCTGCAAGCATATTGCTGTAATCTCCCGAGTAAAAGCTGCATAAGAGCAGGCCATTGAATAGACGTGGCTGTAAGCAGGAGTAGGACTATAAAGCATGAGCACTGCAAGCAGCACTAGAAAGATCATAAGCTACTTTAAAAGAAAAAAAAAAAAAGAAAAAAAAAGTGCTATATATTTCAGGGCTTTATATAACTCTGTTACTACTGAGCTTATTTACAGTGATGCCTCGTCTGTGTCTTCCAGAAAGCCACATGCCAAAGGACAGGAAGACATAAATTATTTCGTCCTAAAAAGAAGCTAATATCTGGGCTGGAGATTCAATTCAGTGGAGTTAAGAATGATTTAGGGCGCCTGAACATCATTATGCCTGTCCTTTCCTAGTTAGCATGGCAAAGCCACGAGGAGTAGAGATAAGTAGAGCCACCTAGTGCAGGCAGGAGGGATAAAGCAAGTCTTTACAGTGATCTCTGCTTTTGAAAAGGGGAAGAGTGTTATTTAAATCACATTCAAGTTGATAAGTGACTCTAGATCTGGTTCAAACCTGCAACGTTTTAATAACATTTCCAAATTCAATATATGGATGTATACTTGATCAGCTTTCATAAATTAGTTTGCTCTCTCCCCTTCTTCCCATTTTTTTTTCTGCAGGTAAAGGAAAATCTGTAATTAAGAGTAACAGATATTTTTGATCTTTTCGTGTTTGCCCTCCCCATTTCCCCAACTGGTGTGACTAGCTGACTTGATCTCATCTTCATTTCAGTTCCTCTTTCTTCGAGTCCACCTATAAGTGCACCAATAGCTTCTCTTCGCTACTTGCATTTTCTTGCAGGCAGCAAAAATAGCAAATGTTCCTACATGTAACATACATAATAGCTTGAAATCAATTGACAAAGTTAAATTCAGCAAAGCACCCTCTTATATTAATATTTAAAGCATCATTTAGTATATTTGCTATTTAAACAGATACACTAAAACCCCTTGCATAAAAATAACTTTAATGACATTTCAAAGTCAGTCATCTAGAAAATTTCTTATTTATACTGTGCAGTGCAGACCAAAATCAGCCTCTGCCTTTGTGGATCCAGAGGGGCCCTGGTTTCCCATTAGCGCTGCCTGACGGGGCTTGTTCTCCTGGTCACACGACGGCTGGAAGAAGCGCGTGGCCACGCAGCCCTTGTCTGGATCCATCCCTGTGTTACAAACACACCAAAGGGAAGAGGAGAAAACCAAAACAAAGAGGTGCTGGAAATCCACAGCACAACGAGGAACCTGGCTTGCTAAAATCAGTGAAATTTTGCCTCCGAGCGAGAAAGGGGATTTCACCTGAGGTCTGCTATGCGTGAGCTGAGGGCTCTCCTCCCTGCCACACGCCGTCTTCCTGAAGGGCCTTTTCCCAGGGGATCCAGAAGGAGCACTGGGAAGTTTTGCTCATGCCAGCATCGACCAGGCGGCAGGCTGGCTGGATCACCTTAGCAGGCACGCAAGGTGCTTGTCCAGCCCCACCTAAATTAGCTGATGGAATAGATACCACGTCCCACCCAGTGTCAGGAACATTCATAACCCACGGCGGGACACGTTGCAGCCTTCATGATTCAAGCAGTGACTCAGACAAAGGCCGTGCATTTGTGACAGCTTTCATGGGGTCGTGGCATTTAGAGAGAAGAGCCACCTCTCAGATCATCATGTCTAATGATGATCCCTCTCTTCAGCTTCAGCCAGTCTTCCCAGAAAGATGTATTTGATATTAAACTGATCGTTACTCAGTCCAAAGGGCACATCCCCTGGCTGCTGGATACACAATATTTGTGCATAAACAAAATCTTTCCGCCTTTCAGTCCAGCCTCTTTTCCTAAGCCTTGTCTCATTCAATAATTTACCAGCTGTTCCAGAAAACACTCAGGCTTCAGTAGTAAGGAACTTTAATTGATTTGCTGATGTCTGGAACTATGTTAAAATACAGAGTCAAATGCTAGAGAGGATTTGCTGCTGCGTGCATGTAAACTTCAGAGAGCCGACTGCAGTTCAGCAGCTCTCCCCATCACCCCTTCGTTAGCACTGGGTGGTGCAGAAAACAAATTCCTCTGGCTTTAAGCACCTGCAGCACGGCTAGGGCTGACCTTCCCCTGCAACTGCTCCCAGTAAAACTGCAGCAGAAACCCAGCAGGAAGGAGGCTGTGCTGCTTGGAGCCATCGTTAACTTCCAGTCGGGCTTTGAATTCATCAGCCAGCCAGCAGCGCCCGCCAACAAAACAGACTCCTTCCCAGCTCTACAGCAGCGTGGTGATGGTGTGCGAGGGTTGGGGATCGCGGGCCAGAGAGGGAGATGCTTTAGCTGTGAAGATAAGGCAGGCAAGGAGGCGAGAGCATCGTTTCTCTCTGCCGGCACCTCAGCTCACTTCAGCTCTGGTTTAGTGCCTTTCACGGGGAGCTGCCACCCTGCGCAGAGGGACGCGGGCACTGTCCAGGTCAAAGCCATGGGATGCTGCGGGGTCCGACGCCGGTGTTTCCTGCCCCTTCTTTTAAATCTTAGCACTGCGGTCCTGCAGCAGGAGGAGAGGGACTGGTGAGAGCCTACAGGGGCCGAGGGAAGGAAATCTGCCTCTGCACATCACTGTCAGAGTGTTTATTTATTTATCACGTAACGGTAGTTACAGCTGGAAAAAGCAGGAGGGGGACTGCTGCCAGACAATGTATCTAGGGAGCTGTTTTGTTGGTGCCACCAGCTGTCCCCTTGGAATAGAGAGCACGTCTGAGCCATGACTCACACAGCCAGTGTCTTATTTCACTCTCGCATCTCTCCAAAAATGTTCCTCCAGCCCGAGAATGCAATAAAAGCCTCCTTTTCCTGGCAAAGGCTTTCGCAGCCAGGTCTCTTCTACTGCCCCTTTGTGCTCAGGAAAGGAAAACAGCCATTTTAACTTCAGGAAAGTAACTCCTGCTGCAATTAGGGGAACAGCAGATTCTGAACAGGGGAACTGGCAGACAGGTCAAGGGAATACAGTACCCTCTGTGTAAGATACCTGTTCAAGATAGGGGAAAAAAGTCATCAGATTGTTCAGAGATGCCTCTAAAGTCAGTGGAGAAACTATTCTGGACTTGGATGGATGCAGGATCAGACCTTAATATCCAATACTCCAGCAAAGCCAGAAAGCTTCTGCCAGAACAGGTTGTCACCTTAGCCTCACCTGGCTAGCAGTCGCCTTTGCTGGCAGCGTTCCCACGCAGACAGCTCTTCGAATCTTACTGCAAGTCGATGTCCCTGAGGTCTGCTCCTCCCCATTACTTCATCTAGCTCTGCTCAGGTATTCTGGCCTGGATGGCCCGACACAGTGAAGCCAGACCTTTTAAAACAGAGGGAGACAGACTGCCAGATGTTGCGGGACAGCACATCTGTCACGGGATGGAGAACAGGCTCGGGCAGGAAACCACAGCTGGGTCTGTGCCGCTGAGATGGAGCTGGCTCAGTGGCCGATCCCGCGGCTGCGGTGCGGGGTTGCGGTCACCCCATCGGAGGTTTCCCCACACGCGAGGTGCAGATGCTGAAGAGGATTACCTGCGAGGGAAGAGTCCGCACCGACCGACTGCAGCCAGCGTGCTGGCTACGGGGAGAGGCCGCGGGGCTCCGCTGGAAACGAGCGTGGTTTAGCCCTTGCTGAGGAGCAAACAGGGGGGATGAGAATTATTCTCGTTCTCCCTGCACGAGACCTGATGTGCGTGCAGATCTCTTGTGCCTCTTCTGTGGCTGAACAGCGATTCCGCTGTGCAGGGCTCTCCCAGTAGAACGAAATTCATAGTCGACTAAATAAACCATTAAATCGGTGGGGAGAGGGGCAGGGTGGAGGGAAACCTCAATAAAAATGCTGCCTGGCAAGTGCATTGATTTTAGTTAACCAAAGTGCCATGGGGAGGTCCTTACGTCACGCTAGCTGCATCCCTGGCACCTCTCAGGACCTGTGCCCCAGCTCCTTCTCTGAACTTGCTGATGGAAAAAAAGTTCCGTCGCTGGCTTCGGTCTTTAGGCCCACGCACACACGCTGCTGTACACAGGCACGCATCTCAGGGGAACTAGGGTCACTTAAAAACAACCGAAAAAAATTGATCAAAGCTTTCATTCCTACGGCTCTAATGCAAAATGTCAGATTGACAGCAGCTTGGTGGTATCCTTTTATATTTTTGGTGCAGGCAGACGCTGCAGCGGGGTCAATCATGACTATTTAGTGCACTGCCCTAGATGGAGCTGCGAAGCAGCTGGGGAAGGGCTGGATGGAGGTAGAGTCTCGGTGCCACATTCCCGAGATTAGATTAGAGCTCAGCCCTGAACCCTGCAGGGTAGTCGGGCCAGTGAAAGCTAAAGGCTGCAGGAAAGATGGGACCCTAGCCATTAAGAGCTTCCAAAAATAAAGAAAAGTGGGTCAGAGGGACTGAAGAGGGGCTGGACTGCTTCTTTAAAGTATAAGGGTAAGAAGGAAACAAGCTGTCACTCATTAAGAGAGGATTCCCATCCCCAAAAGCACTGCCTGAAATGTCAAAGGTGAGAGTAATTGGACAGGGGAGTTGGAATTTGAGCACGGTTACCATGCAAGAGGAAAAACACTACACCTGCCCTCCAGGAAAGTATTTTAAGTTTAAAAATAAATAAAATTCTGCACCATGAAAATGAAAGATGTTCCACAGATAGGATGTCTTGGAACTTGTCAAATCCTTGATTGCGCTGTTGTCACAATACTCTCCATGCCAGCTGTGTCAGTCATCAAATAAACAACTTCTCATCACTAGCAACCAGTGCGAGAGTAAAGGGGGGTGGGGGTGTGCATGGGGGTGCTCTGTCCCCAGAACCACTGCATTTCGGTGATGTTACTAATGGAAAGCTACAAAGGATATTGTAGCACAGAAAGGCAGGCTATTGTTAGCAAGGGGGCTTGAAAGAGTAGCCAGAATAAATTATCTGCCCAATGGCCTAAATTTATTTCACTTTGTGATAGTGCAGACCCCTCTAAAGACTCTAAAGAGCTGACTACAATGGTATCACAAAGACTGAGTTTGGCCTGAAAGCAGGTATTCGCACCTATTTGATTTCTACCGAATACAGTTTATCCTCCTCAAACTAAGAGCAGGTTTTCCACTAAGTACAGACTGAACACTCAATCAAATATAGCTTAATAGTTCATATTTATCCAAATCTTGATGATGGGGGGTTATGAACTAAGTGCAGAACCCAAGATACTGGAGATTTGATTTCCAGTATGCTTTGGCTAAAACATGACTTCTGCACAGCTACACATTTTCCATTTACTTTCACTGTCATGGCACAGCAGGATTAGTCTCTGAGAAAAATCTTACTCAGGTTTTCATTAGGCTTGGTTCACATGGGATTTATACAAACTTTAAATTATTTAAATTTAGAGTGAGAAATTGGAAGAATTTCACATAATCCTGAAGAAAAAAAGAAAAAAGAGACAACCCCCCCAACCCAAACATAAAAACCTCTTTTTAGCGCTCACGTGAGAGCTACATTACCCCTGAGTACCCTTCTAAGTTACCACAGCCTCTTCAAGAAATCTACTTGATACAGTGCCGAGCAAACCAAACATCCCAAACTTGTGTCAATAAAATCTTTATGGTCCTTCTTGTTTCTCTTTGTGTGCAAGGCAGATTCCACACCCACACTAGTTCAGGCAAATCCCAGTAAGTACCTTACCAGAATGTCTCCAGTACTCCGTCCTTGGCATACTACCGACACCAGTCCCAGTAATTACTGCTTAACCACGCACACTGCACTTCTCATCACACCTCCAGCACAGGCTCTTAGCTGTCTGATTCTTTGGCTCCAGTGCAATCACTCGTTCAACATCTGCATCCTCTGCAGCAGCAAAGGTGAAAGAAACAAAGAAATACTGCAAGAAAGTCTAACCCCGGCAGTTTTCAACTGCTTACTCTTACCTAGCTATGTTATCTCTCCCAGTATGCTGGGCACTTTTCAAACATTCAGGCAACAGGGAGAAAAAAAAACCAGAATAATGGGCAGATGCTCAGCACATGCACTTGGAATTGCCCTGCACCAGAAATACTGCCCCACTGTGAATTATAAGGCTGACCCTAAAATATATGGGAGAAGGTTTTGGCTTGCATTTATACCAGTACGATGTGACACCAACTTCAACAAGCAAGATTTCACCTTGTTCAGCTCCCGTTTTCAGTGTCCCTGCATGGATGAAGAGGGTGGAAAGAAAAGCAGGTCTTCTGCTCCTCTGAGCACTCCTGCTGTGATGCTCCAGGTGGCCCATGAGGCCAAATCCACCAAGAATGGGAATTTTTCAGCAAACCAAATGGGGTCTGCCCCTTTCCCCTCTTGCCTGAGCCAAACCAGTGGTCCTTCAAGGTCAGCAATATAATAAACTGGCAAAAGAAGGTAGGTGGAAAAGCTTCCAGCTCTGCACCTTGCCAGCTATCTGTCACGCTAATGGATAAATAGATAGTCATGCTTCCAGGATTTTCCATCCATTGCTTAACCCGCCCACAGTGAAGTCGTCACTTAATTTTAAATTAAAAGGGGAGCAAGAGAGATTGTTAAAAAAGGCCTAGAGAAAGCAAGGGAAGGAGGCGACATCTGAGAGCCCTGGGTCACCCTACCCCATCCAGCCTCTATCATTGCTGCTTTGTTCCATATTTAGCTCCTGACAACTGTGCCTAGTGCAGGAACTCCCAGCTCTGTTTTTCCCTCCTCCCTCGGCTGTCTCCTCTCCCTTAGAGAGATTTCTCTCAGAAATTTCTCTTTCTTTTTCTCCGTGGCCATAAGCTAATACCCCTGTACTCAAGAAGATGGCAGAAAAGCAGGAGGAGCCCAGCAACACCCAGAATGGTGAACCTGACAACGCAGAAGAAGGTGAGGAAAAAAAGAAGAAGAAGTTGAAGCGGGAAGACCTGCCACCGTTTGAAATTGTGACAGGGTAAGAGGTTTAGATATAAATATGAGGGTGCAGGAGAGTGAAGTGGGGATGTTCAAAGGTCTCTGCCTCAGCTCTTATGTTGGGTAATTAAAGATGGCATCTTCAGCCAGTGCACTTCTGAATATTCTTAAATGGTGTAAGTATGGCTTTCATTATTGTGAGATTTTGTTAAACGTTTTGCCAATTTCCACAGAGGATGGATTCACACCAGGCAGGCAGACAAATCTGTTTGTTTTATACAAGCAAGTCTGTTTCTATAGCATTGACTGATTCCCTTACAGTGCAAGTAGTCCGACTAACTGCAATGGGATCACTTACCTGATGATATCAGGATGGAAGGTATTGGCCCTTGATGAGCACTGAATATTGATTTCTTGGTGTGATCAATGGCTCTTGTCTGAAAGTTTCTCTATCTGTGGATTAGGAAAAATACGCCTGCTATGGCTGATTTGCTTTACGGACCCAAGGGACAGATTTTTCAAGAGAACTGAAAGTCCACATTTTTAAGGGCTCCACACCCGCAGCTGGAACCTGACTTTCAAAAAAGCCTAACTCACAGAAAGGCACAAAAACAATAGGCGGTTTTCAAGACAGCAAAGCAGCAAGCAGCTCCTTTTGCTCCAGTGAGCCTGGTCTTTGAAAAAGGCAGATATAACAGAGATCTACTAGGACGCTGAACTCTGTCAGACATAACTGACAGCTGCAACTAGAAAAAACTCTGTAATCTGCTATCTCTAAGCATTTCAAAATGCTCATTGTAGTAGTAGCAAGATGCCCTATGTCATTCTTCCCTCTGGCCTCCCTTAGCAGTCACCAAGGCAGCGTTCCCAGCGCATAAACCAAAACCATGATTTCTTCCAGCTGCTTGAATGTAAAGCTCAGGCCAGACTCTAAAATCCCACTTGGAGTCCTTCTGCCTGTGACATGGTTACTGGTAAGAAAGATTCTACAAATAAAATTTGGCTGGCATTTCTGAGAACGATGCATGAGGCAGGACAGCGCCTATGTCTGATTCCTGCACAGGGACGAAAAAACCATTTTCTTCTTAAAATGTGTCTGCTCTGAAAAACCACTTCTTGGGGTGAGGCTGTTCGCAGCCTTTGGTCTGTCATACATGATCATAGAAATAATACACGTCTGCTAGAGCAGTGACTTTTAAGAAAAGCACACCCCTCTGCTCGGAACAGAGCTAAGACACCAAAAATTATTTATATAAGCCAATGGACCAACGACACATATGGTGACAACTTCTAGACACTTAAGACTTACTAAAATGAATCTCAATGAGGAAGTTAGATTTTTCACCCTTAGAGCACTCAACTTGCAATTAGAAATGCTAAGGAATTGGGCAACAGCTTCAAACTTCCTCGCTAACCCAAATGACCTGGATAGGAATTGGTATGCTAATCATGGATGAAAAATACTTTCTTAGTGTCATCCTGCAATGAATTATTTGTTGCAATGACAAGGGTGTTGCAGAATTTGACAGGACTTTCCACTCCGGAAAGGCGGCAGCGAGAATGCGAGGGATGATGTGTGCTTGCAGAAAGGGGTAACACAGGAGAACTTAACCTGCCGAGGCTCAGCAGTGAGCGCGCTGCCAGAACCACACCGGGGCAGAGGTCCTAGAGTTAAGAGCGGCAGGTGATGCAAGGAAGCCTCAGGTAACATTTTTCTAGGGACAAGTTAAAGTCTGTGCTATGGCATCTACATACGTTAAGCTGGTACCAGCTGATTTTCACATTCTATACCCCGATACCAAGCAAGACAGGAGTTTCAGTTTCTGAAATAAAAGTACTCAGACATTAGGTGAGGGACCACAGAGCTGTCAGTATGTGAGTATTTATACTGTCCTCATCACAATATTATTTGGAAAGTGCTTATAAATATCTGGTGAATTACTGTAGGAATCATGACCAAGTCTCCTCTGATTATTAGTTTATTACTAATATGCTGGCTATTAAAGGAGAGAATGAGGAAGTAAAGCAGAAATCCTAAAGGACCCTGAAAGAGGTACTGAAAAATCCAGCAGTTTTTACTTTCATTTTGAGAAGTACGCTGTGAGTTTATACTGTGCCTGGACCTGGTATGATCACTGTTGGGATTTTTCTAATTATTTACAAATTTTCAGCCAATAAAGCCAGTTATGTGAATTATGAGAAAACACATAACTGCAACTGTGAAAGCACTTACATTCAATTACATTGCATTTCAGTTTTAGCCCTTGGATTAGGGGCATCTTATGACACACAGCCAAGTTTTCAAGCTGTTGCTTATAGCTCTAAGGAGTCTGGCTTACAAGAAAAATACTGGGAACCTAATTACTCTGTTTAAGAATATTAACCCTCTTTTTATCAACATTTGGCTCAACACAGTCCTGGATAAATATAAGCCCCATCTGAGTACATTTCATGGCATTTAAGTAGACACATTTATTTACACTTTCCCCAGAGTGTAAATGAGGCTCCTTCTAGCAGTGATAAATCCTTGGTTCCTGTTACAGTTGATCATTACAGGCTTTCTATAATCAATGAGCCCAGCATGAATGTGTTTATTTGTGAATAGTTGTCAAAGAGCAAGCAAAAGGACACTGTTTTATCGGGTCAGATAACCTAAGACCATAGTATAAATAGTCATTGAACAAATATTTAAATTTAAAGAATATGTCCTACTAGTTTACAGCATCTTTTAGCTAATCCCACATTTTCATTCTCTCATTAGAAGTTCTCGATCTCTCCTCCTACCCAGCATGCAATAGTGCTGTGGTCATGCTGGGCAGCTGCTGTATTCCTCCAGCCTACCTTATTTCAGCAAACTTAAAAGCACATTATCTCTTCAGTCCAGTACCATTCTTATAGATTGAGGTTTCTGTCTCAAAGTTTCACTCTTTTTCATCTCAATACGATCTACCAGATGACAAAACACTTTGCTGCCCAGGGCAAGCACTTCAATAAATTAGGTTTGAGGCATTTAGAAAATCACTAAAGATGACCATTTGATGATGATCTTCAGAGAAGTAGGAGAATGAAGATTTCAACTTTTACCTTCCCAATACACCGCAAGTGAGCTATGTGACCACCTGCATCCTATTGTTGGAGCAGGTGACATTTCAGTGCCCGTAAACAATTTTTCAGAGAACATAAAACTTACCTCCAAGTCCTACACTGACTATGATGCCTTTATTGGAGGGGGAAATGGCAAGAAAACTTCACTAATTGCACGAAAAAAAAACCAAAAACAGAAAAGCAGTTAGCCTAGTCACTGAAATATCTGATATTTGTATATTTTAAGAGATTGTAAAGTGACATGCAAGATGACACAATCTCTATGTTTAGCATTTATAGCAATATAGCTTCCAGTATAAGAAAGTATATTGGAACTCACATCTCCTAGGCATATTTTGTTAGCATTATCTTTCCTTAATGTTGGAACAAAAAAAAGAAAAGGGTAAAATAGAGACATTAACATTTGTACACCACCTGTCATTCAAACACGGGAAAACAGGCTTGCCAAGAATTAGTCATTTACTCAGAAAGAGTCTATTCAAAGCTAGACTTGAGTTTCCAAAGAAGTTGTCTTAGTTTGTTGTAGTGGTTGACACAGCAATTTCAGAGATGTATTTTGATGCTCAATTGTTTGCAAAGAGTTTTAATCTACCCAGATAAACAATACAATTACGATACTTCACTTTGCAATAAGTTATGAGGGTCATCTGCCAAGCATGCTGTAACTCAAAGGTGAGAGGCAGCATACGGCATTTAAGTACTTATGCAGTCTTACAGGACATAGGTTTGGTTTTGCTCATTCTTCCACTGCCAAATCGCTCGCTGCGAGGCTTTCCAACAACTCACAGGACCAGAGACACCTCGTCCAAATCCCCACTGCTGGGAAGAGTCACATAGCAAGGACTCAGCTAAGCCCTGTCAGGACAGAAGTTTACAATTCACACTTGGGCTGACATGTCCTCCCCGCTCTGGTTTACACGGGATTAAGCAGATTCTTGCTAACGAGCACACACAGCTCATTGGTTGCCTACGTATCCACGATCAGCAAATTTTCCAAGCTCTCAGCCAGCTACTTACAGGCTTGGAAAATGCCCTTAGCTTTGTTTATATTCTTTATCGGAAACTTATTAATTAAGCTGATGCATATTCCATGTTGCTAGAAGGGCAGATTTAGGTGAACATCCCAGATAATCTTAGACAGACGCCAAGATGATAAGCAATAAAATCTGTCTAGAAGGCCTGACTAAATACACGTCTGAGTCAATACATCCTGGAACAGATCGCTGCTGTTTAAACAGTTTATCAAAACACACAGATTCAATCTCATCACTGATGTAACCGCTTTGCAGTCAAGAGAGTTAAATCAGGAATGAACTTCCATGTGACTCTGATGTGCTACATTTAAAGACATGATGTTATTTTAAAACAACTTGCTGTAGCCTTACAAACTTAGCTCTGAAACAAGGCAATGGGTGGCTTATGTCAGACCCAACATAGCTGGACTTCAAAGACATCATTAATTAAGGAATCGTTAAATCATTAAACAAAGAACCACTCATTATCTAGGATATAAAGCAGGAAAAGCGCTATTCTCGGAAGCACGCAAATTTCTTTTTGTCTCAAAGAACATGAGAAAGGAGTTCAGGGAATAAGAGGCACTGTGCTAAATTAGAGTCTGATAATGCCCTTTAACAAAATCAGTGGAAGTCTTGCAGTTCATCTTAAAGCAAATGAGTCTCGCTCTAACAGGTAACTTTAAGTCATCTAACGTAAGTGAACAGAGGTCAAACTGGTAAGAAGGAAGTTAAAGTAGTCTTTCTGGGTAGTTTAGAAATTGTGGAAGCCAGTGCAGGTTTCCCTTTTCTAGGCTTGTGCAAACTCTCAATGCAAACCAGAGAACCATAGACTAAATCATACCCCAACAGCATGATTTATTTGCTCATTAATCAAAATAAAAGTCTGTATCCACACTACTGCTTCTCATCCCTCATTAATACGCTGCCAGCTAAAACATTAATAGCATGAAAGGCTCCCAAACAGGCTTTTCTATTGTTTGTCCCATCTTGTGCAGATCTCATCTAAGCAGAATTGAACAATGTCAGGGTTTAATTATACCGTTTAAGAAGCAGCTGAAAACCTGCTTCTGGTAACATTTCTAAAGCCAAACCTGTACTCTAAACTTCCACTGTCACGAATCAATGATACGTGAAAAGAATTACAGTGGTCCTTGACTGACAGCAACAGTAGATATTCCCAGTGTAGATGCAGTTCTATGAACAGAATTGTTTCGACTCTTGTTGCATTTGGAAGACTAATGATCTTCTTCTCCGAGTACAAAGTACAACTGTGCCAACCTAACCGCATCAACTCTCACACCATTTGGCTGGTATAGTACACTGATATTCCAAGGGAAGTTGTTCATCTGTAAAATCATGCGTTGGGAAATCCAAAACAGAAGTGGGAACTGTAACTCCAGGCCTTTTACTGTGAATCTGTGTATGGACCCTGGATACTACTGTAGTATCATAAAAAATTAAATGGAGAGGGTGTTCTTTTATGTTTTAACTTTCTCAAAAGCCAAAAACGCCACAGGACTTTGGCAGCAAGAAGATCCCTGGCTGCGTTAAGTATGGAATATACACATACTGAAGAGAAATTTCTGAAACTTTGTAAGTGGAATTAAACATTTATGGAAAATTGTATTTAAACTTTTAAAATAACACAGCTAAAGCAGCTTGACAATAGCTATAATTTACTCTGAGTTACGTATTTAGACAGCACACTATTTCCAATTCATTTCTAAGCAAAAAGCCATTTGCTTACGGTACATCATGTAGTATTTGCAGCCAGGTATTACATGCAGAACTCCTAAGTGCCTATTCCCTGGTCTTTCTGCTCAGACATTTCCATTCCAATCCCTCTGATTTGCACAGAATATCACGCTATTTGGGGCTTTTCATGCTGTCCTAGCAAAGCCTTATCCTTTGCACTTTATAGGAGGACATCCACTGATTTTAAAAGGCATCAGATCCAGGTTTTCATGAACAGTCCTTCCTCCTGACCTGCAACCATCCCGCATTTTCACTGTGTCCCATGCCAGCATTCCCCACTAGCAAATTGACAGTACATTCACTCGTTGTTCCCACATTACTAAGTGAGCATAACATACTGAGTTTGATTATTTTCACTCTTTTCCATACGATTCTCTTCCGCTGTCTCTGGAGACATCTTGCGAGGTGTTGCATCACAAATTGTTCTTTCCTCTCAGCAGAACAACGCTTTGCCACTTACTCCTGCAGCCTTGTTGCTCTCTCCAATTAAAATTTCCAAGAGTCTGAGAATCTCTCCTGACCTTTGCTCAGTGTACCCCCTGGAGAGGCCTGACATTATAATCTGACTATAGATGAGACAGGGATGAATAAAACACTTACTGTTTTACAAAGATTCATTATTGCCTCACTGGGAATATCAAGGTTACAGGTCTACCTAAAGCTCAGATGAGAGGAATGCAACATGCCAGAAGATTACTGGTGTGTAATAAATGAAATGTTGTGTTACTACTTTATTTCACCTTGGCTTTGGCTACTCCGTGCAGTCTTCACTCCCATCCTTTGTAGCATTTAGCAGGTCACAAGGCATGTTGTGAGAAGTGTCTTTTTCATCTTTCCACCTAACATCCTTCAAGAACCAGTTCTTGTACTGATGTACTCCATAGTTAGATGCTACAGGGGGCAATCAGGAAAGCCTGGTACTCCATAAGAAAGCAACAGGTACTATGAGATGATGCAGCTTTCCTTTTTCACCTCTTCAGTCAGCAACGCTTAAAAGCTATACACAGTATTTTAAGGGACTAATTTTAACTTCCCTAAATAACAGCAGACTACCTTGTTTGGGTGAAAGAGGACTGCAAACACATTACTCACTGCAATGATTCACTTTGGATTATGCTTATCTAGAAACCCAGAATGGCAGAGGTGCACAACAAATTAAAGTATGTGAAGTTTATCAGTAGTATCCATGAGACAGCTATCAAACTTCAGTAGGAAATACACTTTTTCATAGTGAAGTTAGATTTGATCTCAGATATTTTATTAAAACAAAGTCACAACATATTCCTACTGAATATCAGTATTCAACTGATACTGGAAGAGTAAAACTAGAACACGTAAAAACTCCAACTAGTCGGTCACGCTTGCCTCTACTCAGAGGAAATCCAGACTGCAAAAGCACTGGGGGTAAAACATTAATTAGCAATGCCAACGTCCTAACAATTTAGGACAACAGATCCCACAGATTAACATTGCAATACCACTCCCAAAAAAACTATGTTAATGGCCTAGAAAACAGAAGAACAGTTCAGTCTACAGGTGCATTAAGACTGGGAAAATGCCAATTGCCGTCTCTCCTTACCAAAAGTGAATATCATAGTCTCAAGAAATACATTTCAGAAGCAAGTTCCTCTTCAAATACCTCAATGCAGATACCAGAAATTCCCAGTATAAGTTTGTTAAAATGAATTGAAAAAAGACTAGGTAGTAAGAATGGGCCTCGAAGCCTCACCACACAGCAATACTAGCTGAATATCTTACAGTTTTGGATGTATTGTTATCCTCCTATTAAAAGGCATCTCCTTTTAATACATGAAAAAATACAGCTATCATAGATGCAGCAACTTGTCCAAGATCACACACAAGAACTAAACCAATGCTATAACCCCTTATTATCTGCCTCTAAGACGCTTCTTTCCTCTCCACTCTCTATAGGGAACGCCTCCCAGCCATGTTTTTCAAATTCCAGTTCAGGAATGTGGAATACAGCTCAGGCAGGAACAAAACCTTCCTGTGTTATGTTATTGAGACCCAAGGCAAAGAGTCAGTGACTTCTCGGGGTTACCTGGAAGACGAGCATGCGGCCGCCCATGCAGAAATGGCTTTCTTCAACACAATTTTACCGAAGTGTGAATCAAACCTCCGCTACAACGTCACCTGGTACGTCTCTTCCAGTCCCTGTGTGACCTGCGCCGATCGGATAACCGAGATGCTAAAGAAGAACAAGAACCTGCGTCTGACAATCATGGTAGGGCGCCTCTTCATGTGGGAAGAGCCAGAAATGCAGGCTGCCCTGAAAAAAATGAAGTCAGCTGGCTGCAAGCTGAGGATTATGAAGCCTCAAGACTTTGAGTATGTCTGGCAGAACTTTGTGGAACAGGAGGAAGGAGAGGAAGCAAAGGCTTTCGTGCCATGGGAGGACATTCAAGAGAACTTCCAGTATTATGAGGAAAAGTTGGCTGAGATTTTGCACTGAAGCTCACGTGAGTGAGGATTTCCACTTGGTCACCTATCTATTCATATTAGTATTACAGACTCCTCTTTTTTTCTTCCAGTTGTTAAAGGCATAACCCAGAGCCAATTTCAGTTACTGTTACTCTCACACATACCTGGCTGGGTTTGCCTGTACCCGAATATTGAAAATAATCCTAAGCAGTACCTTCCCCCTTCAAAGGTGGTAACACGACAGCAGGCTCCTCCACAGCAGACACTTAAGGGAGTTAGAACTGGTTTGTTGTTTGTTTTTTTTTTTTCTCCTCAGAGTAAACACCTCCAGGAATCAAGAATAAAAAGGTACTAGGGTCAGTAGGTGCAACAAGAATACCTCATTGTTGCCCACATGCATGATATTCAAGACACATGGCAACAGTGAGAGGAATGTACAGAAAAGGGGATTTCCCCCATCCCTCAAAGCCTAGCCCTCTAGAAAAAAAAACAACCACTAGAGGAAATTAGACTTATCATTGCAGAATTCCCCCCCCCGCCCTTTTTTTTAAGGGGTACTCAAGAGTCACCTATTTAAGCCATAAAAACATGAAGGCATTTAAAGGTTCTAACATGTCTCTCTTTTTCCTTCCCCAGGACCAATTCAGAAAGGATCCATGAAGAGAGATGCAACAGACTCAGACATCTGGCACACTCCCGCTTTCCAAAGCTTTGATTCCAGCAGGATGGAGTACCAACTCCTGGAAGACTAGACTGATGGACTACAAACACAACACAGATCTTTGGTGTTTGGGATTTCTTTGTTTTATTTTGTTCCTTCCTCCCCACCCCAAACAAACCCATGCTGCCTCTGCTGATAGGAAGAAGAGAAGGCAACAACATACTGTGTGATTGAAAGCCGTGGATGAGATGGATTGCAGTGGACCTACAGGAAAGACTGTAGGCTTCGCATACTGAGACTACTTTACGAGAAAAGACCTTAGAACAAAGCTGCCAATTAGACAAATGCATTTAGAAAGTACATACATCATAAATGTTAAAAAGACAGGGATTTAAGATTAAAAAAAAGCTTTTCTTCCTCTGTTGTCCTCAATAATCAGAGCTGTGATTTAAATCAGGGCTAACTGGTTTATTCTAAATTATGATGGAAGCCTAAGTACTCGATTTCAAATACTTTCTCCCCTTATTCAATGATGTTTGTGATATAAAACTGGGAAAAGCAAAGTGAAATAAAAATGGAAGTCACTGCAAAAGCCTACAGCACTGTTTATTCCTTCTTCTCTATTTGCAAGAGGTCCTAAATTTAATCTGACAAGTGAGACATCCTGGGACAGCCACGTATGAAATATTTCGTAGCTGAAGTGCAGCATGATAAGAAGGGAAAATTACTATATGCCAAAAAAAATTCAAGAGTACATACAAGTGTGGAAGACAGAGAGAGAAAGAATATGGGTGTATCACTTTCCGTATAAAAAAAGACACAAACCAAGCAAGGGTCACAGGGATGCTCGTTAGCCAAGAAACTGAGTCAGGGCTGGTTCTTCCAAGTTCATGTTGGTTTCTCCTGCACTGGAGACACAGCTGGACATGCACACATAAAAGTGCTGACTGCACCCATCTCTCACCTCAGTCAACCGCACTAAATTCTGGCATAAATTTTCAAGGCAGAAAAAAACAAGTGGCAATGAGAACACCTTTGCTGAGCGCCACTGTGGATTTCATCTCTTTGCCACTCGATTTAAAAAACAAACATAAATTAAGTGTAAGGACTAAATTAATGAGCAGTCTTGATGCCCACTCTGGATCAGCTCAATACTCCAAGTTCCTATTTGTCTTACTGAGTTTATTTTTTTTCCAGTTGTGTATTTAGCCACAGCAATTAGCCACCAGAAACAAGTTTACAAAGGATGGTCAACAAACAGGGAGAGTAATAATATGAAGCTCTTAAAGACACAAACAGGATTTGCAGATCTGCATCAGCAAAGAAACCACACAATACAGATTAATCCACGATGCTAAGAACAGAAAACACTCCATGCGTTCAATTCATAGTGAAAACCAATTAGGAACCCTATGTTATGGTACAAACTTCTCAACTGTTATGTCCCATCTTTTAGATTTATTCAACGTATCTGGCATTTTTCTGGGCATTCAATATGAGAGAAGTCAAAAAGATTTGTTATTATGGGAGGGTGGGAAAAACCAAACATAAAGGAAATGCAGAATATATCATAGTTCAGTATTGGAACCAAACTTTCAAAAACCAAGTGTTTACCAATGATCTGATGAACTAAGTGTGTTACTGATTTGCTTTTGCTATTGGTGACATCAAACACCAACCTACATATAAGAGCTAAACTACAAATGCAGTAAAAAAAGAAATATGAAAAACAAACCTTAAACTCCATGCTATGACTTTTGATGGCACATCAGTCATTCACACGTGTGGATTCTCAGAAAACTGAGTTCTGCAGGCTATGCGGCATAAAATGCACACAAGGTGTCTTTACACATCTCCACCATTCCCCTTCAAAACCCAGGTTTCCTCTAGAATACAGCCACAACACATACAGACGTGTTTTTCAAAATGACCATGCTCTGATCTGACAGCAGAGTACTGAAGAGCTATTTATTTAATGTTGACAGCATGATTCTTAGCGAGTACAGTCTCATAACAAAAAATTGTATTTATGGCCAGAAGGTAGAAATTAAATTTTTAATCCTGTAACGAACAGAGTAACTAAACTGTATGCCAGATATGAACATTGCAAAACTTTGGAAAAAAAAAAAAGTGTCAGGGCTCCACAGCTCACCATTATCAACCGTAACTACAAACCAACAAATACCTAAGCAACAGACAGCTCCAATTTCACTCTGCACAGGAACTGTCAGCCTTAAGTAGAAGCTCTAGTGCAAGCAGGTGCTCCGTGGAGGACCAGTGACATCTGGTGGCTTCCTGGGACGGATTGACGGGGCACTCCCAGAGGGTTACCACAACACCTCTGCCTTCTTTACAGGCTCCCTGAACACTACATCCCAAATTAGCTGCTCTGGAGCTTTGTTGTTGTTGTTGTTGTTGTGAAAAGCCACTGCCAACACAAGAGTGAGCTACACTCAAACGAAGAATGTGCTCAGCATGCAGTTTCCCCCCTCACCAATTAACAGGTTTCCACTCCTGAAAGCAAGGGAAATGGGGTTCTCTTTAAACTCTTTTGCTCACAGAGTGTAAACTGTGATCTTTATATCTGTGTCTTCAAACACTTCCCCAAGTATTGCTGAAACTTTATTCCAATCCAGGCGGTCAAGTCCACATCCAATCCTGGAAAATAAGATATCAAAACAGCTGTAATGGCCTCTTTTGGAGCATGCTATGAACAACTAGCACTTCAAGCAGCTACAGTTTTATGTGGCACTAACTGAGCTCACCTCAAATCAACATATACAGTTAAAATAAGGAAACAGCCAAGCCTTATGTTTTGCTATCATTTAAATGCACTGGGAAACGCAAATTTCATTTGCACAATTGGACAGAAGAGTTGAAGAGAAGTGGATACTTGAACTCTTATTTCACAGCAGGGGATCATCTCTCAAACATCCTTCTATGCAAGAAACACTCAAGTATTTACATCGCAGTAACTGTTTTTCTTACCTAGGCATAGAAATGTCAGTAACTCCATTGTTTAGACAGTGAGCTTTCATGGCTTCTAAACTCTTTCGCATGTTCTCATATGTTGGTTTGTGAGAAACTTTCTTCTTCGTAATCTAAGTATAAATGTAAAAGGTCAGTTGTGCCTTTGGCATGATCACTGCAAACTACTTTTTTTTTTAAAAAACATATTCCACTACACTCTGAAACTCCACACCCAGACTTGCTACTGTGAAGAGAAAAAGACTCAGAATAAGAACCATGTTTCACAGCGTAAAATAGTGTAATTTAGCAGCTAGTTCTGTCCATTTGGAGTTTAAATATACATACACAAGACAGCTTGGCTTCTCCTCAACTAGCAATATTTGAGTAATACATCTCACACCTCTTATTTAGAGGAACATACTAAAAAAATTCACAACTATTAAAGTCCTCATCATCATACCTAATATAGTTTAGTCACAGGCAAGTGCCTAAGTGATGTCCCACTCTTACCAGGTAGTAAATGTATCGATCCTCTCTTTGGAGAACTGCCACCTCCCCAGTCTTCTTTTCTAAAGTGAAGAAATTAAGAAGGTATTTTTGAAACAGTTACATTCCACTACATAATTCCCCCTACACCCCAAGTAGCTTGGAATACCCTTATTGCTGGAAATCAAGGTTTTCCCTTCAGCTCCTGCATGTCCACCCCACGTGTATCACTCACGTTGATCCAACAGCTCTTGTACGCCTCCAAACTTTTTCTTAAAAAGAACGGCTATGCCTGCACCCATGCGACAGTCCTCGCTGATGCAATGAGCCAATGAGTCCGTCTGCGGGCATGAGAAAAGGTCCCCCTTAACACATTTGATCTGGAAAAGAGCACAAACAGAAGGGCAAATGAAAATAAGCTAAGAGTGCAGACTCAGATACTACAATACTAAGATAACAGGCAGTCTGGCAAGCCTGTAGATGAAAGCGCGTAAGATACTGAGTTTAAGATGCAGTTCACAAGTAGATGAGTTGGCATGAAATATGAACCCAATATACAGGTAACTATCTATCTTTTCTACAAGATCAGCTATAAGTACCACATGCCAGCTCAGCAGTTAATTTTACAAAATCAATGCTTAAAAAGGAAAACTGCATAACAGAGAGTACAGCTGGATTAGTGCACATCTTCAGCATACTATTGGTGTGTCAGTGCTGGATATTTAGTTAAGTAGGTAAGCTCTGTGCTGTTGTACAGTATCTGCATCATTGACATAAGCACAAAAGCGCAAGAAATTTAGCAGTGTCAGCCACTTTCCTCCAAAAAGGTAGATAGTACAGCCAGCTGCCACGTTACTGGGCCTCCAATAACAGGAAGGCCTCTTTACTGAGACACGCATCACAGCAGTAGCCCACATAACCCATTTTCTACGCACTCTCTCCTCCTGATCCTTGGAGAAGTGGGTGGCCATGGTAACACGGGCTATGGTGAAGACTCCTGCAGCTGGAAAGATGACAGAGAGAAGAACAGAGTTATCAGGAACCCCAAACTAGGCAGTAAGCTGGTGTGCCAGAACATGCAAGGCTAAGCCTACTTCATCTATGGGACAGCCGCGACAATCGAGACACCCCCTGAAAGCAGAAAAGGAGGTGGCCAGTACCCCCGAAGAGTGTGGCGCAAGCTTTCCCGCTGCAGCCCCACAGCTCCAGCCCAGGAGGTGCAAGGAGGCCTCAGCCCAGGCTCATCACCCAACTGGCACCCACGGGCCTTCCATCCTCCTCCAAATCACCCCTGCCCCTTCAGGAAACCCCTCAGCTGGCCACACCCGCGGGCACGGTGTGAAGAACGATCCGCCGGGCCGGGGCCTGCACCACGAAGAACCTCCCCAGCGCTCCCCACATCGGCCAACCCAACCCTTCCTCCGCTGCACCACGGCGGCCTTATCGTCACCTAAACATGGCCGCCGGCGCTCGCCTCTCTAGGCGGGCGGGAGGAACGCCCTCTCTATGATACTCGCCGAGAACATTCCGAAGGCCAACCCGCCGTGGCGCCGGCGCATGCGCAAGGCGCTCGGAGGCGGAGCCTAGGGTAAGAGGAGAAAGGGGGTGGGGCCGCAGCCGGCGCTTGCGCATTGCCGGCCGCGGCCGCCCTACGAGGCGCGCGCACTGCCTGGGGCGCAGGCGCAGTTGCCGCGGGTGGGCAGGGCGCGGGCGGGCGGGCGGTGCCCGGCGCTAAGGGCCGCGAGGAGGGAGGCGGGGCCACCCGGGGCGGGCGCCGCCGTGCGCCTGCGCCGCCCGCGCCCGCCCCCTCCCTTGCCTTTGTTCGGGGTTGGGCGCCATTTTGCGCGGCGGCTGAGTGGAGGCGCTGATTGGGTTTCGGGGACCGGTAGCGGAGCCAATCAGCGCGGGACCCGAACCGGGGGAGCGAGGCACGGTGAGTGCGAGCAGCCAATATGGAGCCCCCGAGCGCCGGCCCCAGCGCCGGGATTGGCGGGGCCGAGTGACCAGTCAGGAGGCCGCTCGCAGGGCCGGGGCCGGCCGGCCGGGCACTGGGGGGGAGGCGAGGGGACGGGGCCCGGCTCCTCCCG